CAACGGAACTAGGGAACCAGCGGGAACTAGGGACGGACAGAACACACAGCAGCTCACGGGCAGGATTTGGAGGACGTTAGGAAGAGGAGTGTACTTTAGAGTATATAGCTTGAGCCTGCGGCCCTTCACGCCATATACCCTCCGGGAGGTCGGCCGCAAGGGCGGTTGCGCCCTTGCCGCCTCGGCGTTAAATACAACAACAACAACAACAATACCCTGCAGAGACCATTGGGCTGTGACATCCATGATTTGGTCAGATTGCCGCTGATACGAACAGGTGGGTAAAGTTGGAGCACCAATTCACTCAAAGTCAGCGGGAAGTGAGTTGAGTTGAGCGAATCCATCAGCTGGCGCCGCATCGCCTGCAGCAGATCCGGGAACCAAAATGGCTCACACCACTCCGTCCGAACGGTCTGCACTTGTAGGAATCGTGTAGCCAGTGCGAGAGCAGCTTTTGGTGAGAACTGACGACATTGACGTTGTCCGTGGAAATGGATCGTGCGAACACAAGGAACAAACGGCATCTTGTCGACATCAAAAATCTCAGTCATTGAGTACTCGTATCGTTCGTGGCCCAAGCCGTGACGTTTTCCTTGTTCGATTTCCTTCCATCGCTGATAACATTGCTTGCTGGTGAGAGCTCCTGAGTCCGAGGGCGATTGGGCCTCGGGGGTCAACTCAAGGCGAAGGTCCGACTCCCAGCCGGAGAGGACGTAGAGAAGTTGGTGCATGCCTCTAGTCGCAGCATAATTGTTCGCGTATCTGTCGACAGCGAACTCGTATGTGGGGACCTTGTGGTCACCGTACTCGGGAAGGACGACGACGACGTTGAGGCGTGTGAGGAATCGTCGGCGGTACGATCCGGCGCCCGAAAACATCTCGTCGAACTTTTCGAGCTCCGAAGTCTTGATGTGAAGCTCGTGGAAGGTGAGCCTCTCGAAGGCATGCCGAAACTTCTCCGACACGCTTGCGATGCTGGGTCGGATTGGCGACGAGGGCATCCCATTGCGGCAGTGGATTTCTTCAGGCAGCGGCAGCCACCAGGCGACGTGGTCGATGATTTCTTGAGGAAGCCTGTTCATCGTGAATCTGGTTGTTGATGTCGTCGCGCAGAGTTACCAAAGACGGCAACTGCGACGGCGACGGTGACAGTGACGGTGACGGACGATGGTGTTAAGGTTAGAGAACTCGGTGCGTGGGATGTTGAATTCTCAGCGGTTGAAATAAATAGAGACGGTGATCAGAATTTTCAAGGTGCCATGTGTGGGTAGAAGGTCGAAGGTGAAAAGGCGAAGGTGGTGAAGTGGGTGAAAACCAGCAACGTTGTTCCCACTTGAGGCAGGCACGCCCCCCAATCGTACCTTCCTTCCCTCATGACTTCGTTTCAAGCATGAGGAAAGCACAATCAACTGTTCAACTTGAACGATGTCATTTTCACTAATTGCAGCCAAAATTGGTCTTACTGCCAGCGGGCGCTATAAGTGCTTCATTTTGTGCTTGGTTACGATATAATACTTTCGTTCCTCAGGATGGGGGCCCTCCCTACCATATAACCCTCAATGTCAGTCCAGTCACAAGTACAAAATTACAGTTCCTTTTCTGTCCTGATGGAATCTCATGCTATTGTAAAATCTCTTAGCCAGCGGGTAGTCTTCCTAGGTCGACGGAGCTTTGCCCAAAATTCCGGGCAAATGACAATTCAACCAGGTGGGCAACATAAATCCAACCACCACACTAAGTAGGACCATTACAGGAAAATAGGTCATCGGGTTAGTCCTCAATAATCTTGCTAGAAATTTTCACCCGGGTAGTGTACCTCGCAAGGTTCATCTGGAAAAGTCATTCACAAACTCATAGATGTCCACTACACCTGAAGTACCTACTTAAGACTGAGATCTGGATCCTTTTTGTCACATCCACCTTTGTCTAGTTTCAAACATTACATCGCGTTATCCTATCTCCAAGCAGGAGTAGCCACATCATTTATCTTCTACGTGATTTTCTCCGTCGCCAGTTTATTGCTGTTATTGTCGCTATGTGTAAGTACTAGGTACTCTGTTCGAGTTCAAAACAACTCCAGATGCTAATTGCGTTATCAGCGGCACCCCTTCAGCCTAGAAAAATGGTCTCCATCAATGATATGCCACCCGAGATTCTCGAGCACATCTGCTCGTACTTGGTGATGTCCAACTTTGATGCGCATCCGTGGAAGCACCGTCTGGCCACTTGGTCAATTGCAGGGATCATATTATCCGAGACGCAGCGTCAAAAGCGTCTGTTGACCGTTACTGAACGGAACCCCATACTCTACCTGTTACTCCGTGCGCCACCTGCACTTGTATGCGGCCATTTTTGGGCACCGGAACAGCCTCTCGACGTATTAGGTCGTACGAACAAGACGGTGAGAGTGGACAAATTGGTCAAGCGGTGTTATGTTGGTATGGACCGCGGTATTGGGGAGCGCTCTCCTCCGTCGACGGCCCAAGAGAGACGTTACCAGGTTAGCAGGGCGGCGGACTTGGCTGGAATTGCCCTGCCGCTCCCTGAAGATGCGGAGAGCAACGTTTCTGTCCAAGCTAGCCTCGTACTCGCTCGGCATCCCAATCTCACAGAGTTAGGGTTGAGAGGGAACACGCAGGATCTTGCCCGGGTTTGCGACTTGAAGAGAAGCGACGGTGGACATCTACTTCCATTCCTCGAATCCATCCTCGCCACCTCAAGTTTAGGACGCCTTGAGGATCCGTACCTTTGCGAGCTGGAGTCGTCGCATCTGACCAAAATTCTAAACCTCGGTGCGGAAGTCTCGGACATTTTCATCGAGAATTTCTGGATATCGCTGACCCACGACCTTGCGACCCAGCATCTGACTGCCATCACACTAAACAACGTCGCTGTCAGCGTCGGCGACGTAAAAAAGCTCTTGAAAAATGCCCGCGGCCTAAGGAGTTTCGCCATGGACATCTGGGAAGGGCGTGTCTTCGCCTCTGATGTTATTACCGAGTTAGAGGAGCATTGCCCGGCCCTGGAAACGCTTTGTCTCAAGTTCGTTCCCCCAGGATGCACAAAAAAGGCGTATATTGGAGATGGCGACCCGTTCTCGCTGCGCAACTTCAACAACATACGGAATGTTTGGATCGACAATTGGAGCATTCTTAGGTCTATCCAGGAAAAGCCAGGACCGGTCACACGCCCGCTTAACCCGGGACGTCACGATTGGACAAGCCGCTGCAATGAATTCATGTCGACGCTTCCAGAGTCAGTGGAGCGGCTTCATTTCAGCGGCTCCGTTTTTCCCTCAATCTATGAATCGGTAAATGAGGAATGGTCTCTGATAGAGGACTTCGAGGCTCTTGCGGTAGATCACAAGTCCGGTCGCTATCCAAAGTTGCGAGAGGTGGCAGTAGAGGGAACTGGTGACGTAGAGCTGGTGAGAAAGGCTTTAGAAGATGGTGGTTTACGTGTTCTTTCTAAGGCGGAGAAGAAGCCATTTTTATGGTTCTGAAAAGGGAGACAAGGATGGCAGGAACGGCGACTCAAACAGAAGGTGGTTCAGTCAGCTATCTGGGCAGTGTCTACAAGTGTAATCCATACATCTTAGCGAGAATCACTATTGTATGTATATCGCAATAAAGTAACTATATTTCCTTCATGCCCGCTATTGTCATCATTTTTGTCGCCGCTATCGTTGCTGGCGTCGTTGATTCTACCGTCATCGCCCATCGTTGTTGTCCATCGTCGTAGTCGTCTATTGTTTTGTCTACTACTATCGTCCTCGTCGAAGTCGTAGGTGCGCTGTGATTGAAGTCATAGGGGAACGCACAGCCAGCAAAACTCTTCTTCAGAACAGCAGAATTGCCCGAAGATTGGGCAGCGATATGAAATAATAGTTATGACAGTGGATTCATTATCGAATAACTAAAATGTACATGTCTGAAGCTTGGGCTCAGAGCCAAATTCCCGGTGATCGACAACACTAGGTACATGTCTTTGTCCACCAGAACATTCCGAAAGGGACAAACGAGATCAAAGCATCCTGACCATGAATACCTCTTCCCACCCGCTGCAGAGCCTCCAAAGTTTCAGCAGAGGGCTTCCAGTCTCCAACATCAAGCATCCATCTCGGAAACGAGCGGACATGGTCCAGGGAGCTGTCATCGGTGCTTTGAGACGACTTGCTCGCTTCAGCACCACCGCCACTGCCCTTGGAACCATCATCATGGCCACTTCCCAGGTCATCATCGTGGTCAACCGCGCGCTCGCCGCCGCCGGACACACGAGACATGTTGGGCGGGATCTCGACATGCTTGTCGAAGTTAGACGGAACCCCGGGCGCCGCGTACGAAAGCCGCCAATACCCGCCGCGACTCATCTGGTTCACGTCACAGTACATCTGAAAGGTCTTCAGACTGGGCATCTGATCCAAGGCCTTGCACATCGCCTCAATCAAGGGCATCATGACGTCTTCCTCCGGAGTCCGCCGAAACTGCACCGGACACTGGCCTATCTGGCGGCCGGTCTTGAAGTACCACTCTCCGAACAGTTTGACCGGCTCGAACTGGAGGCACATGTAGGTCATGTCCTGCCAGAAGGGTGCAGGCTGCTCGGAAGGACCGTAAGGCCAGAAGAAGGACGGCTCCAGGATGCCGCGGTAGTCCAGCTTCGCGAAGTTGTTAAGCAGGCCGTGCATCGTGGCGCAGAAGTTTGCGTGGTATCTGTCGGTCACGAAGTCCAGTAGCTGCTCGAGCTCGAAGCAGGCCGAGGGGTCGATGTAGACCTTGGCGAAGTTGTGGGTCGGAAGCTGGAACGCGATCTCAGAGTCGGGGTGCTCATATTTGTCGAGGAACTCAAAATCAATATAATTAGCCGTCCGGGTCGGCATGGGCGAGAATGAGGTCCTCAAGCTTCGGGCACGCCTTAGCGATGGCGAGGATGCTGGAAGGTGTACCTGCGGAGAGGCATCAATGCAGGTCGTCTCGAGGGAACGGATGCACGGCGCCGCCGGCAGCGTGTCAAGATCCGGCAGCTCGATGACCGTAAATTCGCGACGGCGGTGTTGGCCCTTGACAGGCATGCCTCCCGGCACGACCTTTCCCCACGTCTGGCAGTTGATGGTCAGGCGGATGGCTTGGCGATCCGTCCAAGCCGAGAGGATGAGGAGCGTCTCCGAGACCGCTCTGGACGCCTCACGGCCTGCTTGGTCCATGTCGAGGGCCTTGTATGGGCGCTTGATGATACGCTGGAGGTATTCGTCCAGCTGAATGCGCAATGTGACACGCTTGACGAAGTTGCGACGGTAGGGGCTCGCGGAGAACATCGACTCAAACTTTTGGATATCGTCCTCGAGGTTGCTGATCTCGATGGTGCGGAAGAGGAGGCGCTCGATGGCACGCTGGAATTTGCGAGAGACCGTTGCAAACCGGGAAATAAGCCGAAGCTTGGGTCTGTATGGGTGGATGATGTCGTTTTTGAAACGGTGACTGATGATGCCGTCGACGATCTCCTGCGGAAGTCGATCCATGGTGGGCGAGAGGACGTGGTGTGGTGAAGTTTGACAGAAGCCAAGAGGAAACCCGACAGGAAAGCGTGGATGTTGGAAGGTGGAAGTTTGTGTCGGAGGAGGGCTGGTGAGATACTTGAACAAGCTGTGGCAGGCTCCCATTTCTTCTGGTGATGCGGGAACATGCATGCATGACCCAGAAAAAAGCCAACAAGTGTGTGGGCGGTGACAAACGGCATGCAAAAGGGGGCAGCCTGTTTAGCAAACAAATGAGGAGGTCACTTCCAGAGTTATCACCACCGGATAAACAGCATGTCTTGGTAGACTCAGTAGACAAGAGAACAACCTTTGTTGATTGAGTGTAAAGAGATCTGACTGTGGTTTGGAATAATAATAATACATTTGCTTTGTGCACATCAATCATTTCAATTCCTGGTCTGTTTTCCTTCTTCCTCATGGTTCCCAATTTTGGCAATGCTGTTAGAGATTCATTGCTCTCCGAGCCAAGACTTGGTACCAAGAGAAGTGCAATGTGGAAGGTCGTTACTGCAGCTGATATTTTATCAAACATGACGAAATGGTGCGCTAGATCCATGTGACAACCGCTTCCTGGTGGTGGTTTGCGATTGAGACCTTCCGGAACATATCTTCTAGTTCACTTGCACAGCATCCAGACTCTGCCAGGCCCCGGGCACGCAGTAGGACTCGGGGCTTGCCCAAGGGAAGCCCATCTAGTTCTTCTCTGTACTCTCGGTCCAGCACACCTGGGAGGTAGTATTCCACTTTCAAGGAGTTCGTCGAATACCACGTGCTGAGGCTATCGGCATCTCGTAGCTTAAAGATCTGCAAGGATCTCATCTGGGCGATGGCTCTGGTGACTGATCTGAGCAGCGGCATGACCGTGTCGGGGTTCACATCGAATCGTTCAGGTGCTTTCATTCGTTGAAAATTCCGTTTTGCAACTTCTGGCTTCATCTTCTTGGTCAATTCCCCTAGGAATGCAAGGGCCGAAACGGTCTGTTCTTCTGTCCCATAGCCAGGAGGACTCTGATCTTTGAGATGAAGAGCGAAAGCTTCCTGGCCCTTCTGGGGGCCGTTGCGGAAGTACCACGTTCCAGAGGGGGCTACAGGATTGAGCGTGATGAAGATGTAAGTGATATTCTCCCAGAACGGCTGTGGGTTTTTCGCGAGACTACTAGGCCAAAAGAAACAAGGATCCAACGGACCACTGTATCGAAATCTTTTGACGCTGTCAGCTAACCGGCGTAGAGCAAGAGAAAGCGAGTCTTCTTGCTGGCTTGGCACCAGGCTCGGCGGGTCGTGACCGGTGTAGTCAGGTCCGTCGATGTTAAAGTAAACCTTGGCCATTGAAGGTGCCTTGCTGATGGCTTGAACCAAATTCTCTCGCAAGCTCTGACGGAAGGCCAAGAATTCGCCAGGCTCGGTGTAACTCAGAAAGGTGCCTTTGAGACAGGGAAGTTTGGTTGCTAGTGCCAAATACGACAATGGTGAGAATTCGCGGAAACCCGGCTTTTTGCGAGACTCCGGGTTATTTAACAAAAGCCACCGAATGCAGTCGACTGGGGGCAGCTGCTCCGGGTAAAGGATTTCGAGATAGTCGTACTGATAATCAAGGTTGGTGCCAGAAAATCCTAGTTGATAAGGACGAGCTGTAATGAATAAGCCGATGTTGCAGTTCTTTTCCCAGCGACACAAGCAGTTCAAAAGATTGAGAATGGCATTTGTCGCGACTTTGTTGTTGGCCTCTCTCTCGGTTGCTTCGGGGTATTTCTGACAAAGCAAAAGTTTGATCTTAAACCCGAGATGCTTGAGAACATTGCGGCGGTGCGGGTGGGTGAAAAGGTCTGCGAAACGCTCCAGTTCGACATGATTGATGTCAATTTCCCTGAAAGTATGCCGCTCGATGGAGAGTTGGAATCGCTTAGAAACCGTCGCGAACGTCGGAGCACGACGGCGCCCGGTCAACCAAGGTGAGTAGTCGATGATCTGGTCAATGATCTCTTGTGGTAGTTTCTCCATGGTGGTGGCGCGTCGTCGTCGTTATCGTCGAGTGACGCGGCGAGTCCGAAGTAGATTAAGGAAAACGAGAAGGAGTTCTGACACACCAGTGAAAGTGGGAAGACTTCAGAATAGCAGACGGACATCTGCCGAATGCTGAAGTTGGGGCACCCAGAAGGTGAAATATGGAGGGAGAGTGACCGAGCCATTCACCCTTCCACATTCCGTCCGTGTCGGGAACATATTATCAAGTCATTCCATGATGTTCTTCGCATCTGCCATCCATTTTCTTTGTGATTTATCTTTTCGTAGATAACGCTGGCATTGTTGCCACCGTTACTGCAATTATTCCTTCATCATCGCGACTTCTATCAACTTCCAGGATTACATGTATTGTCCCTTGTCATTCTGACAGATTCATCGTGCTTCCGTCGGTGGTGTTATGTTCTTTGATAGAGACCATCTAATTCCCCTGTGTTCGTGCGGCTATACTTCCCACGTGTTTGATTACTCGTATTAAAAACGACAGTAGCGATAACGATAATGAGGACGACGATGAGTACAACGATGAGGGATAGCTATAATCATAGTATTGGAACTATAATAGTATAAGGTATGTAACGGTTAGGACAGAAGCAACGACGACAGTACGGTTAGTAGAGTATGACTACAGGGAAAGTAGCCGATGTAGCACAGGAAAAACAGACGGTCTCCTTTGATAATAGACACACTAGGCACCTGTGCTTCATGTGAATGAAATGAACAGGGGTTGATTTTGAGACTGCGTTAGATCTCTTACCCACTAAGCCCTTTGTTCAGCTGCAGAATGTCAGTCATTCATCATGATATTACCACTTGTGTCTGTCATAATCTAACAGCGGTGGCTCAAAAATCTTTATACTAGCGATGAGGGATACGACTGGCTTCGTAATGGAGTTGAGGTCTCAGATAAATGATCTGTTAGGCGAGTAGAGCTCGTGTACCACTGATAAAACCGCTGACCCATGGCTGACATCAGCGTGATTGAACTACCACACGTAAAGCACCCCTGGAGATACGTCAGACCTCAGAAAATTTGAAGATCTGACAGACTGAGCAAGAGTGATTGAGGATGAATCTTTGTCAACTTATTGTATTGCTGATGGTGATGGCCTCACTACAATCAATCAATCGACTCTGCTGAGACGCCGATGACTAACTGTTACAGTAACCAGCCAAAACGGGCCGCGTCAGCATACCTTAATTCTTTCTCAGGGGAAAAGGCTCAGGATTATTGACGAAGGGATTGAATTATGCTAGGTATCTAATGGCCATTGAACTCCCAGGAAACGATGGATACCCAACGCAGAATGCCTTCATGACGCTAAACAACCATATACACCTGTACCTGAACGCCACGCTGGGCTGGGACTAAGCCAGAACCCCCATTCATCGACGCGTTATAGACATTATTATAAATGTGGAAACATTACTACTCATCAACTCATCAGATCTGAGCCGGCTTGATCTTCGCCAGCTCGGTCGGCAAGCTCGAATGCTTCATCTCGGTCTCTCCATTCCATCCCCGGAACATAGGGTGAGACAGCAAAGGCGGGGTCTTGAGTCGTATCGTCGGCGGGCGGACCGGTCCGGCGTCCTCCTCAACCGGCAGTGTAACCCGCCGTGTGGGGTACTTCTTGTGCAGGATCTGCCACGTCTTTTCGACTCTTGCCTCATGCTCAGTCCAGTCTCCGCGTAGAGACATCAACAATCCTTCTCCCTCCTCTTCATCTTCGACACTCGTCCTTGAGCTAGTCCTCGCGTGCCAGGTGCGTGACCGTGTGCGGGCGGGCGGCGATACGGGAGTCACAGTGGAGACGTCCGTCCGGCTCTGTAATGACTTGCGAATCATGATACTCCGCTGCAGCTCCTCCTCCAACAAAATCCTCGAATGGCTCAGCTTCGTGCGGCGGGCAAATTCCTCCCAGGTGAGGTTCGGGTTGCGGAGGATGGCTGTGTTGTACTCGTGCGCAAGCTGCTTCTTCCGCCGGGCGCGGGCGACGACGAGATAAATGGTGACGGCGGCGACGGTCAGGATGAGAGAGCCGAGGACGGCCGAGACGATGATCAGGGTCTTGGTGCTCGGGGTGGAGGCGGCGGTGTTTCCGGAAAAGTCGACAGCGACGGGATCGGTGCCGATCTTTACCACGTCGTTTCTCGGGACGTGCGGGATCTTCATGTTTCTTCCCAGGTGATTGGGTGTATAGCGAGTGACGGATATAAGGGTTTAGTTATTATAACGAACGTAAGGTGGCCATGGAATTCGACAGATACCACGGCCGGGCTGGACGCGAGCAAGCGTGGTTATGTGAGTTGACGATTCTTGAGTCACAAAAAAGGTGTACGATGTGTTTCTCGCGGGCGGGTGGGATGGCTCGGGTTCTTGTATATGGGGTAACAAGCAGCAAGCCAAAAAGGCGGTCATTCTATTTAAAAAATTGATTGGGATGCAGAACCCCAAGCTTACTCCGTGCAGTACCCACGTCTCTTTAGTCTCCTGACCGCGCAGGAACGCGGCACTCACCGTATTATTTCACGGGCTGCAGGTGATGCTTCTTTCTGCACGCCATACTGTTCTGCCACGCTTGGCATAGGCGAGAGGGAACCCCTTCCCCTCCCCGTATGGGGACCGCCGTCGAGTCCGCGAAAGCCACCCCGGAGAGGAAGGCAGAGTTCGGATACGGGCTTGGGAGGCTGAAGCGAGAGGCCCTCTTAGAGGGCGAACATGGGCATGAAGACGTAAGCATGCCCTCTCGGAGTGGGATTCGGGATGGCTGGTGCACGCAGAAAGACGAATGGCCAGCTGTCTCTGTGGTGATCCGGCCGTTGGCCACGATAGTCGGAGGCCAGATGCTTCTTCTTCTTCCGTTGTCAGGCAACCTACCGGGGTAAAGCAAAAAGACGTGGAGGCATCACTCCATCGCCCGCTGTGGCACAGTGAAGACCAGGGCGAAGGAAAATTCTCTGGAAAACAACAAGAAGCGGACTTTAGGGCTGCCAGGGGCTCTGGATTGGCCACTTTTGCGCTATAATTGGCCCTGACTAGGCCTTGTCAGGTGTCCAACACGAGGTTAGGCACAGTAGCGCCGCATTGGCGGAGGGGCCCAAAAGCAAATCCCGGACGACGTGCCGGGGGTGACCAGGGGAGTTGGAGATAGAAGACGGGGAGAGGCCCTCGACCGCGGAATGGGCTCACGAACCCGGCCTATCAGGGCTTCTGGAACTCCCGGTGGCTGGACAGCGGCCGAGCCGTGCTTGACAAGGATCGGATGGTTTGTGTGGTGTCATTGGTGGTGAAGTGTGAAGATGGGCACTGCGCTGGGCAGTTGAATGGCATGGGATTTCTCCGCGCTGAGACTGGAAAGCCCATCGGCCGCATTTTTGGCCATTGGGCACTGATATGTCTGTCGATTTTGCGGCTGGTGTTGTCTCTGCCAATGAGTTGTTATTTTCTCTGGGTCTTTGAAGCACGTCACGTTGGAGAAGATGTGAGTGCTAGATGTCGAGATTCTGTCTGCATCGAATGTTGATTGACATGCATGCGAATGTACAGATTCGAATCGTTCGTCCATCTGCAAGATGAGATGAAGCTTCGGCGGCTTCATCAAAAAGATGGTCAGGGCTTTGGGCTGCCTCTACAGAGCCATTTGACTTCAGTAAATGAGCGTTGTTGGCATGTGAGGGAAAAAAGTTTTCAACAAGACCCCTGACATGACGATCTCCTCCCATGTCTCGCTAGAACAGCCACAATAGCGGATTTTTGCTTCTGGCTATGCTTCCTTTAGATAACAGATAGCACACCGCTTCGCACCGTTTGCGCTTTTCCGGCAAACACACAATGCCCAAACTTGAATCCGGAGTTTCTTCTTCTTCTTTATTGTGCGACGTCATGTTGCGCGTAGCAAATGTCTGTTTCATTAAACCAAGCAAATAATGTATTTCCACGCGCATTCTCCTGCATCTGCCCGCTGTCTCGTTTGTCTGAAGCACCTTAATCCCCGGGCCATGGCCGATTCACAGGCCATCCTCCAGCGCAAAATCCAACACGACAACCTTTCGTTGCTTCTCCTCGGTTCGCGTGTATATTGAAACCACCTGCCTTGACCCAGACACAAATGTCTCGAGCTGCGGCTCCCCGGAAAACCCATCCCCCTGCCACAGGCAGCGATACTCCAACCGCACCGTCGCATCATCCGCCGCCGCAGTCTCAGGCAGCCTGGCGCCCACAACCGTGAGTTTGTTATCTCGATTGCCCGGCAGAGCAAACACCACCGTCCTTTTCCCGGGTAAAGCAATGACATCTCCCCGGGCCCCCGTCCGCGTCGGCAGCGCGTCAGGCAACGCGTGCCTGCTCCAGTGGCCCCCGGGACTGCGGTAGTAGTGCATCCAGACTTCGTTTTCGCGGTTCAGGGCGTGAAACCCGCCGTCCTCGTCGGCTGCCTGGGCCTCCTGGTTCAGGATGCCGCTGTGCTGCGGGATGTCGAATACGATCAGGCCATCCGCGTCTGGGAAGACCGTCTCGCCGACCTCTAGATTCGCCAGCCGTTCGCCTCTGCTGTTGTTGAACGTCTTGCCGAGATCGTCGCTCGAGACGTAGAAGAGGCTGTAGTTATTCTCTGGACCGTTTGGTCCGGCTTGCACCGTGTGCAGGCGCGCTTCCGGGTCGTCGACGCCCTCGTACCATACGAACCCCCGGTATGTCCCAGACACGTGCACGCGGCCGTTGGCATAAGAAATGCCGTTGATGTATGGGTTGTTCTTGACGCCGGTGAGAAATTGGCCAATGTAGGAGTAGGATCGGTCCTTGCTGCTGTACTTGAAGAGGTGGTCGGAGCCTGCACCGGCTCTGCATTTCGTGCGTCCGCATCAGCTGCAGGTTTCATCTTCGCGAGATTGGGAATCTCAACTCACATGCCGATGCGATAGCTCAACAAGAGATCATTGTCGACGCGAATGAAGCGAGGGTACGTCGTTTCCAGGAAGATCTTTTCAATCGCCAATTGGCCGGTGCGCGTGTATCCCGGCAGTTGATTGTGTGTTGGGCTGAACAGCGATGCTCCCCACTTGTGTGTCTCTGGGCTCGTCGCGACGCCTGGTACTGACATGCGAAAGTGCAATCTGAATACAATGTTATCAGCGTTGCCGTTTATGAGATCGTGTGATCGAGAAACTCACGGATCACAGTGGTGGTCAAAGGCAACGTGGATTGTGCCATCCCCCTCGCATACACCTATCGAGATGGTGTTGTGTCCATCATCCGCCGTCTGCTCATAGTCCTCAAAGGTCAATGTCTCCCAATCGCCGAGTGTATCCTTGATGGGTCGCCGCGCCAAGCTGACGAACAGAGCATTACTCGTCGCGTCTTTGTGCCTGTAGAAGCAGGTATACTGCCATCCGTTGAAGGTTGTCAGCGCATCCTGTTGGAAAGAGTTTGCATTGATTCGGTGCTCTCTACGCGCGTCGAGCGCTAGCTCCGACTGTGACAAAAGTTTCAGTTGGGATACCATCTTCTCTAAAGCCGATCAGCAGATTTCCCAAAGTCAAATATGCGCAACATGGGAATGGGAACCCCGCGTGTAGAGGCCCGCGAGCACCCCTCCATTTTCACCACAGTGACGTACGGAAACCCCTACTCCTTGGTTCGGGGAAGAGGGGGCCGAGCCAATGGAAATGGACGGATGGCCGCGCGACGATTCCCCCGATGTGCCGACGCCGCTCCCGCCTCCCGAAGCTTGCCCCGACCGCCGACACATTTGTATGACCCGGCGGTTCTGACGACGCCCGATCCTACCTGGTATGAGTTAGTGCGTGCTGAGCAGCCTGTTGGTCCGGCTAGGTCGAGGCCGTCGAACCATGCCATCCCCGCAGGTTTCCCCCCGTTTTCTCCAGTTCCCCCGCGTTTGCAGGCATGTGCTTCTTTGTTCTGCCCAATGAGGCGCATCGGGGGAGGCTGGAAACGGGGCCCGTCCGAGAAACTGAGCAAACAAGACTTTGGGGAGCCGAGCCGTTCAGGCGGTAATGATGAGCGGAATGTTACATTGTGCAAATTGGTTATAAACATCGAGATATGTCCGAAGTTTGAGCTGTTGCTTTGCAGGGTTGCGTTTGCTCATCCTTCTTTGAGAGTTCAAGAGGCAGAAGAAGAAGAATAAATAGAAGATGGTCTGGAAGGACAAGAAGATCAACAACAATGACGACCGTCAGGCGTTGGAGGCCACCACGCCCACCAACACCAAGACGGTCTCTTGGCTCAAGGACTCTGGGCTGAGGCCGCTCAACTTTGGCCTGTTCTTCCTGCTCTGGGGAGACGTCGCGCACGGCTTTGATGGCAGTCTCATCAACAACTTGCAACAGATCGACCAATGGCAAGATGGTTCGTTGCCGAAACTGTACTGGTTCCTCGTCCAACACAACTGACATACTCAACAACAGACTTCAACCACCCTCGCGACAGCCTCCTCGGAGCTCTCAGCGCGTCTTACTGGGTTGGCAACATCATGGGTGTCCTGTTGATCCCGGTTCTTTCTGACCGGACGGGTCGTCGTATCGCTATCGCGGTGGGATGTATTCTCTGCATCGTCGGTGCCGTGATCTGCGCGGCGACTATGAATGTTGGGGCATTCATCGCTGGTCGTCTTCTCCTTGGCATGGGCGGCGTCATTTGCAGCACCGTTTCAACTATTCTCATGACCGAGCTGGCATACCCGGCGCACCGCGCCACGGCCACGGCACTCAGTTCCACAACCTACTCCGTCGGAGCCATCTTGGCTGCATGGGTTGCCTTTGGCAGCTTCCGCATCCCGGACTCTTGGTGCGTATTATGGTGTACGACATACCGAGTTATCAGCGGCTGCTAACATGAGCAAATAGGGCATGGCGCGCGCCGACAGTTGTACAGGCCGGCCCAAGCGCGATGGTTTTGATCGGCCTCTTTTTCCTCCCCGAGTAGGTTCGCCAAGAAATCTGCTCTTGACTCGGTGTGGTTAACCTTTGGACATAGGTCGCCAAGATGGCTCTGCAGCAAAGGCAAAGAGCAGACTGCGTTAGACATCCTGACCAAGTACCACGGCGCCGGCGACCCCAACGATGCTGTTGTTCAGCACGAGTACAATGAGATCAAGGAGACGATTGAAGCCGAAATGACTCAGAACAAGAACCCCTTCCATCTTAAGGCACTATTCGCGACCAAGGGTAACCGCTACCGTTCGTTCATCATTATCTGGTGCGGTATCTGCAAGCAGTGGTCAGGCAACGGTCTGGTCTCGTGAGTCAACCGAGCCGCTGGGATGGACCCATAGCTCACAATGCACAGGTACTACCTCGGCAGCATGCTCAAGAGCGCTGGCATCAGCAAACAGATTGAGACGACCCTCATCACGGCAACCTCGCAGATGTTCAGTTTCGCATGCTCATTCGCCTTTGCCTTCTTGCCTGCGCGAGTCGGTCGCAGGCCATTGATGTTGATCAGCATGGCCCTCATGTGGGTTGTCTTTGCTGTTATCACTGCCACCACGGGAGCATACGTCGAGACCGGGAACCGCCATGCGAGCTACACTACAGTTGCATTCATCTATCTCTACAGCGGTGTCCACAACCTGGGGTGGACGGGAGCCCAGATGCTCTACAGTAAGCACGCGAAAGCCAAGGACCAGGCATGCGGGATGAGGAGTTGCTAACGCCGCTTAGTCGTCGAGATCCTGCCTTACCACATCCGCGCCAAGGGCATGGCCATGTTCAGTCTGGTTGCGGGTATTTGCGGGGCCTTCAATACCTATGTCAACCCTGTCGGCATTGCGGCCATGTCGTGGAAGTTTTACTTCTTCTATGTTGGCTGGATTCTTGTGCAGTTCGTGGTCGTGTACCTGTTCTTCCCCGAGGTAAGGATGAGCCCATTAACCGTGTGGGAGCCGATGCTAACTCCCCGAAGACCAAGGGACCCAGCTTGGAGCAGATTGCTCTGCTCTTCGATGGAAAGGATGCTCAGCTTGGCAGAATCAATGCCGTGGCCGATGAGATGCTCGATGAGAAGAAGGATGTCGCTGTTGAAACGAGGGAGAGGCAGTAATTTGCATGGTTTGTTGCGGAGTTGAATGGCGTGGAAGATACCCAGATACCCATTCCACATTTTACCCAACCAGCATAGTTCAAATCGAGTCAATAATGCATGGTGCAATTGTTCCTCACTTCCGTGCCTTGTGTGAGTCCCATGGAATTTCAACCATAGCTCCCGTGGGATTTTGCCCCCGTAGAACTCATCCATGGGACAGGCTCTGCGCACAGAGTCATACCCCGCGGAAATGACCACTGTAAAATCTCAACTGGGTTAATTATGGACGTGGGGGGCTTTGTTCTTACACACTACAAGTTGAGATGCCAAGACATTGTAACGGCGCATCTATGACTAGCCGCTCGTAGGCAGTGTCAAGTGCAATAAGCCCCTTTGAACCAAAAAGCATCTTGGCCGGCCATCACAATGCCAAGACGTTGGCCACCTCATATTGAAAACACCACAGCACAGCCTCAAACATAACGACCATGGGATTGATGAACTCAGAATGGCAGCTGGCGGATGTTTCCATCCTGTTGTAAAATATCTACCAACGGCGTCTTTGTCCGACAACGAACCATCCCGTTCACTCTTTTAGCCTGAAGACGAGACAGCCGGTGGCACGAACTCAGATCTTATAGATCGTCTCTACCGTTTGTCTGGGTCTGGGCCATAGAGTTTCTGCACGTTCCAAGATGGCATCGTCACATAGAGCGATGTCTTTCCCTGTGCGAAGGGGCATCTTGACTGGCGACCTGTTTCCTATGTTGAAGACATTTCACGATTGGATACGCCCTCTGAACTATGACTTTACACCAGCTATTAAGGATCAATCAATGTTTCAGGAACTCGTAGTACGATTTACTATTGGAAGGAGTATCAGATGATTGAACAGATGAGCGCCAAGCCTGTCGGGTTATTGCGGCCTTTGTGAGTCCGTCGAGACCTAATGACGAGAACGAGACTGAGTTTAAGAATGGAGATATTTGAAACCAGAGCAGCAACTTTCTCTCGAAAGAACGGACTCTGTGGCCAATGATCGCCCGCTTCCTCCAAACGCCGATAGTTTCGGAGCTTCGCAATTGGCAAACAAACTTCTTGGCCATGTGTGTGTCCCTCGTTCCTGGAAGGGTTCGGTTAGGGTCCCTTGCGTAGGTTCCGCTCCGTGGATTGGCGGGGTGCCATGGTAGTTAGCCAACATGGGTCGCGGAACGAAATCCTGCCCATCGGTTAGAGCGGCCTTGCCCTCGTGGTCGCAACTGGGCAACTTCATTTAGAGTTCTACCATTTCTGGCCAGACGGCCGAAGGAGGTCGCCGAGTCAAGCCTCCCCGACCTGTCATCAGGTTTGAGATTGCGAACCTTGTGTGCGGCTCGGATAGGACCGAGGGCTGAGCGTACAACACCAGGCTGAACGGCAGAGTCACTTCATTGAAGCTCAGGATGAGTCTGTAAATGATAGTCCAAGTCAAATGCTCCATTCCTAGTATGTACAGTAAATGCCTATTCAGGGTATATGTCATGACATGATGACCAGCTTTCAGAGAAGCTGACAAGGCCGTGTGGTCCGTTCCCCAGTCATGAAGCTCTAATCATTCGTAAACCGTCTCCCAAATGCTGCCTGGCGTCAAGCTCCCGTGAGCTTGTATGAGTCCGTAGTCACCACCGACTTAAATCCCAGAAGACCTTGATGACATGGCCGTAGATGTCGCACTGAATGAACTCGCGTCACTCCCTTTCCTGCCTAACGCCGCAAGCTTTGGTCGTGTGACCTGCGGGGTCTTATTGACCTCCACAGATACCGTCGTGACCGTTTCGCACTGAATAGCCATTCCCATAACCGAGCCGTCTCCCATACCAAATCCTCTCATGCTGTCTGTGCTTGTGTTTGCGTCAACTCCGAGGCCTTTGAGACTGCCTGATTTTGTGCCTTTCAGGGCAATCTTCTCGCTCCATTTATCGCGTCGTCTCTGCCTTGGGCGGTCAATGCCGCCAACCACAATAGTGGTGTTACCGAACTTTGGAGGCTGGGAACACATGAAGGAAAAGGTTTCCAGACCAGTCTCCTGGGAAGGTGGACCGTCACAAGCGAAGACAATCGACCTTCGCGTAGACGAGTATAGGACCACGTCCAGCCAGCCATTACAGGCGATCATTGCTCCTGCAAAGCAAAAGTAGCCCAAGGATACCTCATGCCCTGCCATGGAGGCAAGACGCCCTGCAGCTAGCGGGGTAGTACATACGACGTACACCAGGGGATATAGTAAAAAGGTGTGCTGCCGGGCGTAATCTGGAATACCTGGTAGTCGTCTAAGAATTGTGGTGAGGCATACGATTCGAAAACTTTGCATCCGTGACATTCGTGTACTGTTGTTACTTGTTGAGGTGCTTCCGCTCCTGCAAGATGATGCTCTTCCAGATTGCGATCCAACACAGGTCGTTCCACTGCAGGTTGATGTTTCTCCGCATGTCGATGAGCCGCAGCAAGCTGGCTCGGGTGCGGGAGAGCCACAACAAGGAACAACCCCGCCGCTCCGTCGCGCCACTTTTTGTAGATGAAGAAAGATTATGAAGTAAATAATTGTAGTAACAATCAAAGAAATGAAGATCCATAGATAGTGTAAGGTGAGTCGGATGTCCTGATACTTCGAGTTGATCCAGCACTGTGACCATGTTAGCATGTAGTCCCCTGACTCGGTTTCGGTCTTGGTCTAATAACTTACCCATGCCCCTGCTCTAACGTACAAGCCGCCGTCATTCTTGCCGTTCTCCGTGACAATCACGCCGAGGATTCCGGTGCCGTACACGAAACCCCACATCATGACAATGGCGGTATGAAATGCCCATGTTGGCAGCATCTTTGCTCTGACGATCGATATGTATGTATGCATGGCGATAGCCGTGATGAAGACAGAGGAGGCGAGGTCGCCTGTCGAGATAAACCATCCTTGCGTCCAGCAAGTTTTCGTTCCCACCTCAATCGCATTTCTTGTAAGCCACTCCACGTTCAACAAGAAAGCCAATGCCTGCTGTATGTCGGCCAGTAGAAGGTTGAAGATTAGTACCAAAAACTGGTTTGGCGGCTCGTTGATCGCTCGTTGTATCCATGTCTCTTTCGTCGGCTTCTCTGATAACTCTTGCTGGGATGCCGACCACTCGTTCGGGATGATAAAAGCAGCCTCCGTCGGCGGTGGCGATTCGACCTTTGCTATAGGATCCTTCTTTTCTTCCCTCGGTGGCCCGTTGTGCCATGTTATCAGCTTGTACGTCAAGAACGTTAATAAGCCGAGACTGGTGAAGAAGGAGAAGAACCCCATCGCCGCCACGGCGGCGAGGCCATGACGAAGGACCGGAGGCAATGGGCGAATCGAGTAAGGCGAGTTATCCGAGTCGTAATGATCTATCGACTCGTTCATCTCCGCAATGTTGAATTGGTAGGCGGCGTTGCGCAGCTGCGTGACGATGTCATCCGGCAATCGTGGGCGGGCTGCCGGTGGGGTTATATGACGAATTGCTCAGCTCCGGGGGTAAGGCGGACTTGTGGGCGATATAAGAGGAGATCAGAGTCCGAGATATACCCCAGCTCAAGTTGACAAGCTATGGATGGGGGAGCTAACGGCACATCCTCTATTCTCCGGTGCCAAGATCCCTCATCCCGGTCGGATAATGAGATACGGTCGAGTCAAGGGCAGCGGAATTGACTCAGCGACTCCTGTGGGGGGACATGAACGTTTCCTTCCTCTTCGGAGGACCATCGGCAAACATCCCGCGCCGCCGAGTTGCGCTTCACAAGCAGCGCACTGGTAAACAGCTGATCTTTCATAATTTTCGATGATTAGAGTTCGGCTTCTGGTGGTGTACCATCTCAGCCTATGGGAAGATGTCTGAGTAGGCAGAGAAATGTGCATGTTCCATCCCCGTTCCAAAGCGTTCCAGGCTAAAGTATGTGTTGACGGGACGGGCTCTCATCAGCTCGGCGACCCGCGGACCGGACTGACTAACTCACTCTGCTAAGAGCTGCGACGGCTTGTTGGAGCAGGGTCAATCCTGCAGAGTTGTGCAAGGGGCGGCACCATTCAAAGTATTTCATTGGTTCACTCGTACAGGTTGAACTCTGTGCAGCTTCAAAATGTCCGAGCACGACGTGATGCCACGAGTTGGAGAAACAGCCGTGCCCTTCCCTTCCGCCAGTCGCGGTCGATTCCCGTACGCCTTTACGAACTGTTGGACTCTGCCTGGCCCTACCAGCGATCCTAGCATACGCGGTTCCAACATTTTGACTGCCTCATGGTTCTTCTCCGCAACGGTCTCAGGATGCACAGCAACGCGAGACCGTAACCGAGGCAGCGGTTAGTCATATAGCCGCTCGACTTTGATGAGAAATTATCATGAGCCTTCAACTTCCCCGGTTCCATTTTCCCATGGTAATTGAGGATGACAGTCTTAGCCGTTCGGATAATTTCTTCTGCCGAGTGAGAGTCAGACGTTGACCAGTCTGGGGAAATTCCCCACGTGATTAAACGATCGACCGATCATATTAGACTCTTAACACTTGCAACAGAAACATCGTATGGTCTTGGCCAAATCCACAACTGCGCCCGTTAAACATGTAGTATGCTGACGGTGGCAATTATTTACGGTCTAGGCGTCCTCCCACGTGGACTGCATTCTAGAAGGCCGGATCTCGCCCGAAATTTTAGTTTCCCCTGAAGTACGATAGATCTCAGGCTACGAAGGAGGCTAACGGGAATAGGGTGCGAAACCACCCTGCGTCGTCTCCTAAAAGTCTGGCCGGCACTGCCTTTGGTTTCGTTTCGACTCACCGTGCCCTGAAATCTTCCACTCAACACTTCTGCAACCCTCATGACAGGAGATCTATCTTGTATGCAAGATGCGAAGTTTGCTATTATTACACAGCCTCCAACGTATTAACGGCGTGCCCGTGGTCATTCGGATGGCTTGTCTACCGGCCAGGCTGACTGTTCCTACATGAACGTTATCCGGTACCATTCCCGCTATTACTGCGTAGCATAGTGGTACACACATCATGTGCCTGCATGGGTCCCTTCAATCAGCCATTCAAGAAGCACGCGATAGAACCCAATCTGGACATAAGCTTTTAGGCTCGTCCGATTACTAGAGATTTCGCACGAAGGGAACAGTATTCTTCCAATTCCCATGACTCTTTTGAGGGAATTCGAAGCGCCTCTGGAGAGAATTACTGATTAGAAGGCATTAGTAGCTGCGGGTTTGTCGTGCAATGAGCCCATGTTGAGTTGTTGCCGGTGGCATTCCACTGGGATAGTCCATAGAACAGTCGGGTTTTCCGCGGATGCAGCTTCAGAGTTTCTCGTCTTTCGAACTGGTTCCGGGTACTTTGCCGGGCCTGTCATCCTAGCTTCGGTGGCCCCGTGCTTTGAGTTCTGCTCAACATCGACTAAACCATCGGATACCGCCGTTAGTCTATGTCTTCAACGACTTAAAGAATGTAGGCTGTGCTATCAGCAAATCGCGACTTCAGCTCGGAAGTCGAAGAGGCGAATCCTTCGCAGTATCGTCGGATCGGATGCTAACAGGTGTGGATCGCCGTTGTCAGTTGCATCGGTTGGAGGTGGCAAAAATGCGTGAAGTTGTAGTTCGGATGTATTGAGCTACGGCAAACTCCTGGGGGACGCGGCAGCGCCGAAAGCGGTTCGCGAACATATGACTGTCTTGGAATGGCTCACTCATGTTTAGTCTGACTAGCTTGTGTCATGTAATCTTAGCAACAGATGATTCTCGCCCATAGTTTGAATCTCGTAGTAGGCACCACGAAGATTCCGGCTCCCACCTGTGACTAAGGTATTCATACTAATGATCAATCACTAGTCAGATCGGTGTTCTCTCCGATAAATATGGTCACAAGTAACGCTACAGAAGAGCGTAACTGCCGAGGACTTCACATCAACTATTCAACATGCGGAGGTGCTACCCGTGTCAGTCCTCTGCAGGTTCATGCGATGCACGAAACCTTCTTGGTCTACAGGACAAATACCGTGGATAGTACCAAACGAGCGGACCGCGGGGACACATCCGAAGGACGCGACGGATGAGTTCTACGGGCTGGCCGGGTCTCAGTATCCGACATTGACAGTTGTTGCTGCCCGCGTTGTCGTAACATAGATGCGAGCGGGCGCTAGATGTAGTTGGTGAGACACGACAACATTCAAAGACCGAACGTCCAGAATTCAGCCGTTTGGAGCTACGCTGAAACATCTACAGCTCTTATCGTCCGGCGCTTGGCGGAGACACACGATCTCAACAGGGCGCCATGACTCGGCTTGACAGGAACAGATACATTGTATGGGCGTCTTTGGGGACGAAGTATCTCCTACTGTGATAGGCCTAGTTAGTACACTCTGATACGTGGCAGGAATAATGCGAATTGAACATGCCACGTAGACAAGCGAGATTCGAAGGGGGAGTTTGCTTTGCGTACAGTCAGGACAAACATGCGGCTGGCCATTCACTTGATCCCATGTCCACGGCACACGGCGCAGCTTTAACTACGTTTTGTGCGGAAGGATAGCATACATGAATTAGGGGTAAGGGTCATGGCCAAATGTCTGTTTGCGAGCTGAATACGAGAGGTGCTACAACAAACCCGATCTGGACCTGCATCCAAAGGGTGACACAGCATGCGATGGCTTCTACAAGCTGACTCTTACTGGACAGGTTTCAATCGTGCCCGTTGACCGCCAGAGACTGCAAGAACACACCGCTGAGAGATATACTTCGCCTCGGCCATGGCATCTTATTGAAACCCTTCAAAAGGAACGAGCCAACTTTCTTACATCTATTGTATCCTGGCAGGCCCTCGACATTGGCTTTCACGCTCACTACATTCCAAGAGGACGCCCCCGAGCATGCGCCTACCGACTTTCAACTTCCTCTCTCTCGTGATCTTGGCCGAAACATTTAGCCTCGGAAGATCATGCGCAACTCCCCCGACGAGTAGCAACGAGACCTATCCTCGGTTCTCCTACGGGGAGGATGTTGTCCCAGACCATGCAACCGCCGCCTACACGATGAATCACATCTCGCTACTGGTCAACGATCTCGAAGTCAGTCTCGACTTCTACACTCGTATTCTTGGCATGCGAGTCATTCACCATATCGAGGCGACTGAATGGTTTGGCATCGTCTATCTCGGCTACAGCCATGGCGGCAGAAACGGAACCGGATGGCAACCGAGTTCGGAACTCTACCGGCAACGAAGTAACATCGAAGGTCTCATCGAATTAGTGTATCGAAGCAATCAAGCTGGCAGGCGAGAACCGGGTGGGACTCTCTCGCATTTGGGCTTTGTTGTCCCTGATGTTGCCGCGACGCAAAAGAGAATGAAGGATAATAATGTGACGATTATACGCAAAGCTGGAGAGTTGCCACAAACCCTTCCAAAACCCCGTGCCCGAGCATTCGGGTTGTTGAACCTGACGAAGGTAGAGAATGACGCAATTCTTAAGGCTATGCCTCGGCATTTGATGGTGGCGGACCCGGATGGCAATATTGTTGAGTTCCAGCCCCAGATTTAGGACCAGTCAGATTGTTCTCATATCCTATAAGAACCTTCACTATACAACAGGCTTGTTGGAAGAATATCTCATAGGGTTAGTATGCCGACGTGGCGGGTGATCTCACGTATACTGGAAGGAAAGAGAGTTGACTATGACAGCGTGCCAAGTGTTCCATCCCACAAGAGGTTTGATAGTTTGTGAGGAACAACATATGCCAACGTGATGTTTTTGAATGATTTCTTCATTGTCGAGAAACTGCGGGGCATCGTCGCAGCAACTGGTCTCTCACCGGACCCCTTAACACGTCCTGCTGAGGTTTTCCAGGCCAACAATTAACTCTATTGCTTCAAACAACAAGCCGCTCCAGCCGACATGCCACGGGAAAACAACCAGGCGGTGAATCCAGTCACTATCGGAGGTATTCACCCGATCATGGAAGCGTTCTCCATCTATGATTATTTCGCCGCATACGGAACAAGCTCTTGTCTTTGCACTAAGTGTGGCACTTGGTCGGCAGCAGAAGGCGAAGGATGGACCGGCCGTGCTTTAGCGACTGGCTCATGGAGCTTTGCGGGTTAAGATTCGGTCTCGACTGACCAGGGATAGAGGAAATAATGTGATGGCTTGAACACTTTTAGGTTGGTGGGATAACTCCACGGCTGTTTATGGAGGTGGTCTCAAGCGGACTGTGCAGGGCGGCCGGAGGGGCCGGCTGCAGGGCGGTGTCCCCCGGAGGCTGTGAGGCCGTCGCAGGAGGGCTGCAGAGGAGAGGGGTGAAGAGTTTTCAGCTCATAAGGATATTGGTGGTATGGCTCCTAATTTACTAATAGAAGATGCCAAGCAAAGTTAGGCGAGAGGTTGGTTCTGTGCTCGGTTGTCATTTATCCGCCAGAATCAGCTGATAAGTCGCTCCTCGACAAGACCCCCTTGCAAATTGCCCCAAATGTGGTCGTTCGCTGCGGGCCGCTGTGCCTCAACTCTTCCGAAACCAGTCTAGAAGCCGTTGTAGAGTTGACTGGCGAAGTGCGTTATTCGTCCGGGGAGACCGGCCTCGCACTCGAAACCTTGGCCGATCCACCCGTATGCAAGTGCACATGCAGGCAGAACCAACAGACAACCAGAGATCATTAGAAAAGTGAGGGGAAGCCCACGTCCAGGTTTACAACGTTTGATATTTTCTCTCATCTCATAAACCAAAAGAATATTCAACAGTGACCGTGATGTTGGCGACTGCAAACCCAGCCGCGCCCCCAACTGGCTCGCCGCCGCCAGCCAACACCGCTGGCGTGGAACGCGCTGAAGGACCGATCACCATTGTGAGTTTTCAGTATTTCTATAGAAAGGCCGGGGACGTATCGGCAGCCCAGGCGGCGAACCTGTGCTGATCACAGCTCATGGCAGGACCCCGCCCTTGAGGAAGGACCCGAAACTCAGTCCGAAGCGGAGACCGGAAGGTTAGTCCGACATAAACTGGTGTAGCTGAAGACACTGACCAGCTCTAGCATCTTTTCGTCTTCAACTGCTTCCTTGAGCGAAAGCATCTACGAGTACCGTCGCATCCAAGGTCGAACGTATACCCAGAAGGTTGACTACTGGGGACCAAATGACGAGAGACAGAATGAAGGTCTTGAGATCAAGTAAGAAGGCTTTCTGGTCTTATTGATATTACCCACAAACCCTAACCTTCGACACAGTCATTGGATTATGACCTTGTTCCTCGGGGACAGGCTCTTCCTGTCTCCAATCGGTGACAATCCGCAGGTGAGCGGCCTTCTAATGAATGATTTGTATAGATCACAGGGCTCACGCTGTTCATAGAGGGTTCTTGACCTTGGTACTGGGACCGGGATTTGGGCTATGTGAGTTTCTGGATGCTTGCGCGCTAAACGTGAAAATGTGTTTAACGAGAGCAGCGATTTCGCCGATGAATTCCCCTCCGCCGAGGTTTTCGGGGTTGACGTATCGCCCATCCAGCCTAAATGGGTCCCTACCAACTGCAAGTTCCAGATCGACGATATCGAGCAGCCGTGGACGTGGCCTGATAACCATTTTCACTTTATTCACATTCGCAACCTTGAAGGTTGCGTATCTAACTGGACGGATCTTTATAAACAGGCCTTTGAATGCATGGCACCTGGTGGCTATATTGAGGTCAAAGAGCATGATATTGAGCTCCGATCGCAGATCCAGGAGCTGGACGATGAGCATGCCTTTAAGTCCTTTTCCGGAAACCTTCTTGAAGCTTGTGGCCGGCTCGGGAAAGTGGGCCTTCAGTGTCGTGATCATGGCATAGCTAAAAGCCTTAAAGCGGCAGGATTTGTTGATATCGTCGAAAGGAAGTGGCCAATTCCTGTTGGGGCCTGGGCCAATGACCTCGTCTTGAAGCAAGTTGGCTCAGGTGCACTGGAATTTCTTGATAAATCCGTCGAGGGGTTTGGAATATTCCTTTTGAAAGAAGTCATGGGCTGGGAAATGGCTGAGATCTTGGTTTTAAGCAGCGAGTTCCGCAAGGCTCTTAAGAACTTCAGGACGCAACCGGTCTTCGACCTGTAGGTGTACTTCTCGAACCACCTGGGCTTTGGGCTAACATCAATCAGACACATCGTGTACGCACGTAAGCCGGAAACCCGCATAGAGACGGCGTAGGAGACTTCTGCTCTTGCAGATTGTACCTATACTCTCCATGAGTTACATGCTCTGTTCAGATCATTTCATTCACTTGCTATTCCATGGCTTACTCATATTCGTTACGACGAGTCCATGTCACCAAGCTATATTAGTTGGCCCAGGCAAATACTTAAGATGAACACATTTATGCTCTCGTTAAGCTCTTTAACCCCTTTTCGTTGTCACTTGCACCCAGGTCGACACCGTCGAGACCACGTGCGGCTCTCAGCAAAGAAACGCAGAGATGCTCGTCTATTTCACGCATGTCGGCGATATTTCCTCGCTCTATTCGTTGAGAACTTGAAGCGTATGTCAAAACCACGTCAAACGAAATTCGAGGGCTCGGACGGCTAGCAGCCCACACAAGCCAAATCAGAAGCCGACCGTCGACGCGCCTTCAAAGGCCGACCCCGCTCCACCCTGAGAAAACCTCTCAGCCGCCATCTAACTCGATAGTGAGGCACACACCTTGTTCACGGCAAGCGCTTAATCTTCGCCTCTTCTACATTGGCCACTCTCGTCTTGATGCCTCGCGCTGCTGTCGGGTTGCTTGCACCAAGAGCGTGCCCGGATCGGCGAGCGCGTAACCTCTCACAAGTGTTGGGGTTTGTAAAGAGATGCGCACGGTTCCTTACCCTTTCGCACCTTTTCGGGTTCCTTAACACATCGTCGTATTCTAGAGCCCAGGTGACAAGGGTCGCGGCAGCGTCGTGCCAGGACGCAGGAGGCGGTTCAGCATGTAGGCCTTGAAGAATGAAGGCGAAGACCTGCCAAATAGCTGTGTCGTGGAGCCTGTTCTCGTCATCGTCTAGAACATCCAAGTTAGGCACGCCTACAGAATGGTATACGCTGGTGGGATCATCCGGAATGTAGAGGAAGTCAAATGCCTCTCCTATGCACACATATCCATAGTGGACGCCTTTGCGGGTCGGTGACCTCGAGGCCGACGTTGCAGCGCCGGTATAATCCCTCTCGATGGACATTTGCTCTATAGCTTCGAATAAGGTACGGCGTCCAACTTCGATTTAGAGGGGGTTCAAGTTATTTTTGGTTACTTATGCCTGGCACGACCTCGGGGCTTGTATTTTGACGTTACTGCACATTCACGGATTACTTGATAATGTGCGGCGCCTAACGTTTGCCAACAATCATGTTCTTCCTTCTATTGCTGGAGTTGGAGTAGAAAAAGCAGGCTGGGCTCAGTCGAGTGTCATGACACTTGTTCCAACCTCCACTTCATTTTACTCGCCTTGGCATTCAAGACTTTCCTAACCGATTTGACAAAGCGCAAGGCAGGCTGTAAAGCACCGCATCCGTATTGGAAGATGGGTGGTCAGCTTCCCACCTCCTGAACTGTCCAGCACCCACAGTACTGCCAAACGTTTCTTGAAACTACGCCTTTTGCCTGATTTCTCCCCCTATTGCGTGCATTTGCCGATCACACTGGATGAACCAAAGAAAGCCCTTGCTGGGCTTCAGCTGGGGAGAAGTTCATTCCGTGAAAGATTAACCCCGACATTATATGGCCCATTGCTAGACCGTCCGTAATATCATTTTTGACACTGTATCATTATCGTATTTTACGAGAAAATGGCCTGATTTTCAAATTTTGCAAGCTTAGTGGCGCAAGAAATGTTCAGTCAGTACATACGATATAGGTTTGTGTTTTCGCGTGAGACAGACAAGTTGACGAGAGCGTTGACACACTGGCAATGCAGTGCGACGAGAAAGGTCTCAATTCTCATTTCCGTCCATGGTGTGACAGAGCAGGCTGCGCAGGATACCTACCCCGGGGCCGAGCTTTCACGGAAGACTGCATGTCAGCATAAGCAGCATGCATGCAGCCAGCCACCTCATCGGCAAGCCTCTTCCAATTTCATAAGAAGTCTACTCATCGTCAAGATGATAATCAATCCAGAACACGTTCTGTCTATTTTGTTCAGTATCAATTCCCACGTCAACACTTAATCCCAGTATACTCATTCGTTAAAATGATTCGCAACTTTGGAAAAAGTAATGTCCGGACTGGTTTTGAGGAGCCCTTGATAGACAAGTCAGCTTTCTTTGTCGAAGACGAAAGTCATGAGCTATCTAACTTGGGCATGTCAAAGCATCAAGGAGCAAGCTCTGATGCTGAACAGCCGATAACATCCACGTCATGGACGCCAAATCAGCCTGTCATGATTCCGAGCGAGATGGATCAAGGAGAATCTCAGACGAAGGCCAAATGTCACAGAACGCCAGAGAAGCCATCAATAGTAAGACTGCGGACATCGGAGGTTCTCAATCTCGCTGGCGCGGCGACTCTCATGATCGGCATTCTTTCGATTCTACTTTACGCCGACGGCAGACCGACAACAGACCTTATGTGGCTGTCACCCCTAAATATCAACTCTGTCCTCGCAGTCCTCTCTACAGTTTATAGAGCACTCCTAGTGGGCGTCAGTTTCGAAATCATATCACAATTCAAGTGGATATGGTTTTGGTCGAAGCGCTCTCCGACACGTTCTCTTCACCACATCAACGCCTTTGACGACGCGAGCCGCGGGACTTTGGGTGCTATGAAGCTGATCCCGCTAGTCGCTCTACGCGATCTTACTTGCTTACCACCGCTCATTATCATTATCTTCTCTTTTGCTATCGGGCCTTTCGTCCAGCAGGGAGTGGGCATCGCGCGGAGAATAGACATTGTGCCTCCAGAAACAGCTGCGTGGATACCCATTTCTCGGAGGGTGGAAGCGCCGGGCGATGGCGATGTGGATGTCGACATCTCGGGTAAGGCGCACTTCAAAGCCAGCATACGGGGAATGATCTACTCAGCCCTCGGAAATCCCCAGAGCAACGACGGGAGGATTGAGGCAATATGCGATACTGGGCGATGCATATTTGTGCCCCGATTTCAGCGAGATCGTAAAGAAGCCACGCACGCGTCGGTTGGTATCTGCGGGGGGTGCCATGATCTCACCCACTTGGTAACTGAACTCAGCGATTCTTCCTTCCAATTGCCGAATGGCCTCTCAGTCAACGGCGCGGGCGATCCCAACGCTTTCATTGTCAAAACCGACAACGACACTTCATGGGCAAGAAATAGTACTGGAACCCAACTTCCACAATATTGGGCTGCGATGACCAATTTCACATTCACGTCAAGAACTATGGGAACAAATTCCAACCACACGACAGGCCAGCTTGCCGAATCAATTTTGCCGCACGTCTTTGCGGGAACATGCTCTCTGTGGCCGTGCCTGCAGTATTTCGGAGCAGACGTCTTCAACGACACACTGCGCGAGGACGCACTTCATCAAACACCCATGTATCCAGACGCAATCAGCTACTCGGAAAGGGAAAATAACATATCTTTAGGGGGGCCAGTTGATGCATTGCCAGCTTCTTGGGATCTCACCGCCGTGCAGGCCCCATGTCGAGTGAACAATGCACTTTATGGGTACGAAGATATCGAAACCACCACCGTTCTTGGTCGGATGAGCCTACTGGCTAGCGACTCAGAAGTCCGCATTCTGTCACCTCCGAGCGCACCGGAGCATGCCATCGAAGCCGTACCGAAGCCTTGCGTATTTAGAATGGACGCCGCCTTCAGGTCCACTCTGGCCTCTTTCCTGAATGACGAAATTTTCAACGGCAGTTGTAGGAGGGAAAACTCAAGATCTGGGACTTCAGTGCTTGACTGTGGCAGAAAATGGTGGCTAGAATTGCTATGGGAGAGTGGGAGGTCAAGCAAAGTAAGTATCGACAAGCGAATAACGGACTTCGCAGCCTGGATAACAACTGAATTCCGATCCAGTCTTTCAGGGCTCGGAAGTGGAGAACTCTACAGATTCCACGGTCGAGGACTTGAGGAGGTTACATATATCACAGTCCGATGGCGCTGGCTACTTTTTCCGTCATCTATGTTGATGGCCGAACTCATTATTCTGGGTTGGGCCATCGCTCGCACGCACAAGAACCGGAACCGGGAAATGGTATGGAAAAGCAACCCTTTACCACTCCTTTACTACGCAAACTACTTCATCACCTCAGAGGGGCAATCTCTTGGGCATGAAAAGATACCTCCCATCATGAAATCCAACGAAGGACGTTTGATGGCAGCAAATGACATGGAGCAGTCTGCTAAGCAGATCTCGGTAAAGCTTCTAAGAGGAGGATCACAGGACTCGGCTTTGAAGGATATGGCTCTCTGGATTCCCAAGCTCAATCGAAGCCACTCACTTGTCAGCCATGAACCTGAACAAGAGACTGGAAGGTCTAGAGAAGCCAAGGGCTAGGCGAGTATTCGACAGATTAGAACGGTTTTTTATAATCATACAGGTAACCTTTAGGCCAATAGGGCTACTAGATATGCCACGATCTTTCCTCAGAGTATATTTGAAGGGATGGACGATGTTATCGAAGTGGGATAGGATTTGCTAATGGTACGAGACAGCGGCTAAAAGGAAACGTAGAAGACCAAAAAAAGATTGAAGACACCTTCAACAGGCTCTTGTCGAACTGCCAGTCGAAAGCCGGTTTGGCTAGCTTGTCCACATATTTTTTTAAAGTCTTGAGACCTAGCAGAAGTTGTATGAAAATGAACCTTACGACGTCTGTCTACCTAGCATTGTAAAATTCAAATTTGGTTCCTACATCATAATGCCAACTTCGCTTTTCAATGCGAAAAGAAATCTTAACACAGATGCAGCCGTTCAATTTCGAGAGAGATCTGGCTGCAATTTGTCACAATTCTGCATCAGGGCCCGAAGTTCTGTAGGCGGGCTTGTCTCTGACGCCTCGACGATCTGGAGCTTCATCCATCTATTTTGTCTCCAAAACCACTGTGCAGAGAGAGCTTCGACCATAAGAATGAGACCAGCCGCAACTCCGATGCCGATAGCAGCAGGCTTGAAAGCCCATTTGTTGCTATCATTGGGATCGGAATCAGCCGTTGTAGCCGTACAAACTGACTCCTCTGTGGCTATCCTTGCAGCGCCGTCGGTGTTGCAGCATGACCTGTCGTCTTTTCCACAGCAGAAAGTGGACGTGTTCCAGTCACACGGAGTTAGAAACTCCATGCTGGATACATTAACTCCAGCCTACTTATACATCAGCCTTCAAATTCCCTAGGAGTCTGTTACTTTGAGATACCTCTTCGTTGACACATTCTCGGACACAGGCCTTAGAATTCCAGGTTCTGTCGGTGCAGAGCCCTGTGCGATAGTTTCCTTCGGAATCGATGCAGAGACCACTCTTGTCGCAGACATCCCGCGACTCATTCGGCCCATCCAAGATGCAACAGCTGGAGAATACACCTGACTGTGTAAGTCCAAGTTTGTTACAGGGAACCCATGTTGTGTTGTCGCCAATATCGCCATTTAGTGCATAACATGTGACCTCCTGTCCAGATACGGCGAGGATGAAAAGTGGCGCAAGGAGCAGTCTGAACATTGTGGGTTCTTATCACTTGTTGGAATTGAGTATCCCCATATGAAGATAGCGGGAATTTTTGAGAATGACTGACGGGAAGAAAGAGAATCAGAGCAGAAGCGCAGAAGCTGATTGAGCGTGGAGCTAGATGGTACTTATCATAACTAAACCCCAAAGCCCCTTGCTTGTGCGACCTTACTTGCATGTTCGGTATACCCCTCCTCCTTCTCAGCTCCACGAGCTTTACGGCGTACATAAAATTCAGGCTGAGTCTGACACACAGCACCATCTGCGCATGTCGGAGACTCCACAGGGTGCAGTAACATCAGGCACCAGTCGACTCAATCAGGCTGTGGAAGTGACTTATAGTGCATCATGAAAAGATGATGCAAAATATTAGGAGGCGCAGTCGCATGCCTCTGCCGTCAGGAACGGAGCATTCACCGATCTTCCATGAACATAACGCCAGTCTCTTTGAACTTTTCGTTACATCTTCCATAGATTCTAGCCCAATCCATCGTCAGATAGGACAGTCGGAATCGTGTTGGCGTTGGATGGCTTGGGGCCCTGATCTACTGGACAGACCACAAATGTTGCCACATCTTCCGCGCAGCATTGAGGGCAGACTGGCGCTTGATTTAACGTATTGGATATGCGAAGGAAGGCCTGAGGGCATTGTGCTTCCATTTCATGAGCCTTTCCGTCTTCTATCCTTATACTTTTGCCAAATTCCACAGGCCAGCGTTTTGCGCCGAGAGTAGTAAGGGTTTCGAATAGAGTTTCGCTATCCGGGCGGATAGTAGGCATAGACGACAATAGGGATGACGGGAACGATAGTAGTAGGGACGACAGTGATAGCAGGAATAACAAAATTACTGATATGAAATAAATAATGGGACCTGATATAGTAGCTATCCGCCCGGACTGCAGGATTCTTCGAATAAATCAAGCATGCAGAATGAGGGTTCGTCTCAAATTTGCAACTTCTCATTTGATGGAAGCGGATGAAAGATACAGAATTCCACTAAACACCATATCATGTGAACCTTACAACATGCACTTTGGCTTTTCAGATCCACCGACGTTCTCTATCGCCGTGCCGGAACCACGCCATCTCGTCCATCGACTCTCGCCCACTCCTCCAGTGCGTCAAACAGTCTACCCCATTTTGCGCCAGACCACTTATCCCTTAGCTCTTCCCACTCGGGAAGGCAGCCTCTCATCATCTGCAGCCAGCCGCCGATTATGAAGTCGGCATACATTGGAGTCTTCCGGCCGTCCATGAAGGGACCCTTACTATCATCTGCCGCAGCGGCAAAGCATGGTCCAAGTTTTGTGTCCAGTGCTTCCTCGAAATCTTTAAGAAACTTCTTCCTCACATCCGATCCTCGGGGAATTTCAAATTCTTCCCACTTCGTCTTTCCTGGAAAGCGGTCCATCATGGCTTTCTTGTCGGCTTCTTCGGTCCGTGGGTCGAAAGGCATGTAGCACCCAGCAAGCGGAGCTCCATACTGGGAGAACAAATCATCGGCGAACTTGTTGAAGGCGCGATGAAGTGCTACCGTTCCACTTCCATCTGCGGGGAAGAGCTGTTGGGATGAGGACGTCGACGGAGAAGAAAGATAGGTCTTTTGTACGTGTAGCGCGATGTCGAACGTATCGCCGAGTACTATTTCCTTTTTGTCGGCAGCAGGAGCACGAGGATCGCGGATGATGGGAAGCGTGGGGAAGTCACTCCCGTCTATGTGCTTGCGGTTGGCGGGGAGCTGAAGTGAATTGCGTGTCTCAGCGACGGCGTTGAGGGGCACCCAAGTCGTGCGATAAGGGACTTTAGCGAAGTTGAGAGCGTATCGTGTCTTCCATGGATTTGGAGATCCGGGATACGCAGCTGGATCAAGAATGATGTCGTAGAATGAGATGACGGAGTCAGTAGATGCACTCATGATGGCGACTGATATGCTGGTAGTTTGTTGGGTGTTTGGCGTTTAGTGTAGAGGTCAGGCTGCTCAATATTCACGCAACAGGAGGCTGTGGTTCAACATTGTCGAAAGAAAGGACCCATTAAATATTTTGTGTCCAGGAAATCCTGCCCCTTTTGTTTTTGGGTTTTAGTTTTCGTGATCTGCACCCATGCTGACGGCATAGCGGCGATGAATTATCTTAGACACACGCAAGCGGCTCCATTTGATAGGTTCATCTGCGAAGCCACAAAACACTCCGCATGATGGCTGAGACTCAGGGCGGGGAAGGCCATGTGAAACCTTTGAGCAATTATTGTTGTTGAGAATCAGTAATCTTAATCCTTAATTCCCCAAACGTCTCTCTGCTCTCTCTTGAAAGTACACAGAGAAACCATTGAACGAGTATGTGAAGAACTGAATTGCACTGAAAACTAGCGCGCCTCAGGCCGATCATTCTGGGAGCCCAGTGTGACATTCCAAAAGCAGTTCCGGCATTGATACTACCAAACATGAAGGATGAGCTGAGGGTTGGCGTCCGCACAGCTTGCCGGTTGGTGGAAGAAGTCTTCGAAGAAAAGGCTTGATAGAGTCTCTGTTAGTGTCCAAGATATGAGATTGAGATCTGACGATTGTCGGCATGATGGCGCCAGTGGTTCTGTCTGCATAGATTTACCCCAGTGCGGGCGGTGTCGGTCTCTGCCCAGGGTAGCGCCAGGCAGCTTGATGATCCGTAAATAGCCATGCCGATTGACCCAAAAGAAAAGTCATTCCGAGGCGACCTGCAACTTTGAGAACTTAGTGGAGCCAGTCGAGCTTGCGGGCGGCTATCCGTTGGGCTCGGGCGCTTCGAGGTTTCCCAGGGTGTAGACAACCAACAGACTGAGGGAGATTCTCTACTGGCCAGACCGATGCTCCCAGCCTGGTCCAATCGACTTGAACGAGCAAGTCCCTGTACCTGTACCTTTCTTCCTTCTTTGTGATGACTGCCTCGGGAGAATTATCAAGTATTTGGACATGACTGTAGACGGCCCCAGGCTCATCGCGACATCACCGTTCGAAATGAATCCTCGTCTCCGCCCCTAGTTTCCAGGCTGCATATGACGAGGGACATGAAACAGGCATCTACGGATGATCGCGCCAACGCTTCCCACTGCGAGAAGCAGGCATTTCTGTCCATGGCGATGAGACGTTGGCCCCCAACTTCGTTGGCTGTGCAGGCGAGGCCTCCTTTAAAAAGTCCCCCCTAACCTAATTTGAATCTCATCTTCTTTTGCTCATTTTTTGGTGTCATTTTCGCCACTTCCACCACTGTCGCTTGATTCCGCCCTTCATTTCGAGATCAGTCGTACCACAGCAATCTTGTGTAACGCGGCTCGACACTAATGCCTAATGGATTTCACAGAATCATCGCTTCAAAACTTAACGAATCGCAACACATTCAATCAAAGCCAAATTTACGAATCAGTTCATGGGTGGGTGGCTGCAGGCAGAGACAGAGGAAGCATCGACATTCTGTGGTCGAGCTTGTTGACCATCATTCTTTGCGTCTGGGTATCAACGCACCCAAATGCACTGTCACCCAAAGACAAGTGGTACCATGGACTTTTCGACAAGGTCAATCTGGCCATGATAGGACTGTTGGGTCCTGATTTCTTGTTCGGATTGGCTGTGGGTCAGCTCTCTAGCGCCCGTAGAAGTGTGAAGGTGCGATAAACCGTCATCCAGAGGACTCATGAGGTGAGGGTCTAACTTTTGACCTAGCAATTTCGGAAAGACAAATATTTATGCAATGGAAAGAAATGGACATATACGCAGGCATTTTTTGTCGATATGGGGGGAATCTTCCTCAAAACTCCCGACTTTCCAGGCGGCTTCCCGATAGACGCCGAACAGTTGCACTATCTTGTTAAGAACAGCTTCGTCGAGTTTCCAGACATGGAGTCCATGGACATCGCTGAGCGTAATTCTGTCGATACCCTTTCAAGGTGAGGGCAAGTCGAAACCAGCCGCATTCAAGGCCATTGCTCAACTCACCTCAACTTTGCAGGCTGATCACGCTGTGGCAAGCACTTTGGTTCTTCGTTCAAGAGATGGACCGGATCTCGCAAGGCCTTCCAATTACCGCTTTGGAGTTGACCGCGCTATCATTCACTTTTGCGATGGTGGCTACGTTCATCTGCTGGTACCCAAAGCCTTGCATCCAGTACCCCCGGTACATCGAGACGAAAGTATGCGACGGACACCAATACACTGTCGGTGAAATTCGCAATTATGCACGTGCTCATGTGAGTAGTCTTGTCTCGTCTGAGGATTGAGATGCTGACCAAAAGTAGACCCATCCTAGGCTTCCGGCCTCCTGGCATCGTACGCCAATGGACGATATCACACCTCGCGTCTTCCGAATAGATGCATACTGGTGCTTCTACAAGCGACTTGGTGATTGGATGCATCTGCATCCATATGGCCGTCCCATAAAAACGGAACTCTGGGACAGATTTCCATCCGACTTGTGGCGACCGATGGAGCTCATGTACTATCCTTTAGGGGGTTTCTTCATCGTCGGTTTCAGCGCTTCTTTCATGATTGGGTGGAACTTCCACTTCCCGACATCCACCGAACAGTTGATATGGAGGATCGCAGCTCCATACCACATGTTTTTCTCCCTCTACGGCGCCTTTCATTGGCTTTATGAGGACCAGAAATGGCATCGAACCCAAGAACGAATGCACGCTGCCGGTGATATTCATGGCGCAGACCCTGAAGCACAGCTCCTCGCCAGGCATCAAGAAGATCAAGAGAAGGACTCGCGTCCTTCGCAACGCATCGTCGATCGGTTACGGTCTCTGATTCGGACCCAAGTAAACAATTCTGTCGGTCGAGATCCTTCGATGGCGGTGCCTCTTCTGGTCATCATTCCAAATATTCTGATATCGGCTCTCTACGCTCTTTGCCGACTTTACTTTTACGTGGAAGACTTCGCGTCGCTCCGAGAGCAGCCGAAGGGCATTTATATGACAGGAAATCGATTTTTCCCATTCATTGGTGATAACTGGTAGCAACTAAGTCAGAATATAGATGGACCGGTTTATCGTCGTCACGAATCATATTTTGTTACCTAGTTGAGGATTGCAAGTGGTGGGGGGATCACGCGGAGAACAGGGACCGCTGAAAGCCCCGCGCCAACCGACTCAGGGCGGTAACCTATCAAGGCAATTTTAACAGTTCTTCGTTCTCGTTGAGAGCTGGCGAGACCAAAATGCACGCATGAGTCCCAGTTCCCGTGTTTATTCGGTCGAAGTAAGATTCAGCTCGTATGACCACTGAGTCTTCACCAGACAGTTGAGCTATCGCCTGAGTGCATCGCGGTCAGTGTGATTGATACCCATGGATCTCGGTGAACATTGACAGCTCACCGAAATCTGCTCGGAGGTCACCTAATTGGGTAACTTTAACAGTTCTTCGTGCTTGGTCATCCCGGTGTGTCAAACTGGTGTTAGCGTCCGGGTTTGTAACCTGACGAGCACTCCGAAAATGGGGCAATTTTCTCCGTTGTCCATTGAGAAAAGCGCCGAGCATGTCCCTAGTGACGCAATGCGGTAATCTTGGCCCGTCACTCCACCGTGCTCCTCCACGCCTCCACGCTGCCCCTCATCAGCTCTGTTCATGCTCAACAACACGAGTCGACGATACCTATAAAGCTGGCAGGTCGCGCAGAGCTTGAGCTGAGAGGTGTGTCAGATCCTCAGAGTTTAAAGCACAGCAAAACATTCAAAATGTCTGCCGATAAGAAGTACAACGTTGGAATTATTGGATACGGGTGAGTTAAGCTTCCCTGCGACCGATGATCGCAAATCCTTGCTGCAACACCCTTGCATACTTCCGGAATAGCCTCACTGTGGCGCATTCACCGAGGAGAACCACGTGCTGACTTGCCATCGCAGCCTTTCCGCCAAGGTCTTCCACATCCCTTTCATCAACCTCACTCCTCAGTTCAACCTGCACAGCATCGTGCAGCGCAAGCCTACAGCATCATCATCCGCCCCTAATGACTACCCCACCCTGAAGCACCACACCTCCCTGGAGCCCATGCTCCAGGACCCTGAGGTCGACATCATCAACATCCTTACGCCGCCCAACACCCATTTCAGCTTCTCCAAGCAGGCATTGCAGGCTGGCAAGCATGTTATGGTCGAGAAGCCCTTCGTGCCGACCGTCGCTGAGGCTGAGGAGCTCATCCAGATCGCCAAGGAGAACAACCGTCTCATCTGTGTCTACCAGAACCGTCGCTGGGACAGCGACTTCCTGACCGTTAAAAAGATGATTGATGACGGTGTGTTTGGCCGCGTCTACGAATTCGACACACACTTTGATCGTTACCGTGCTGAAAAGCCTGGCTCCTGGAAGGGAGAGCTGGGCATGGCCGATGGCGGCGGCGCCCTTTACGACCTGGGCTCCCATCTTATCGACCAAGCTTACCATCTATTTGGTCTGCCTGAAACCGTCTACGGCAAGCTTATCAACCAGCGGGAGGGCAAGTTCGACCCCGAGGATCCCGACAGTGTGCACGCCCAGCTCGCATACAAGAACGGCCTCATCGTGAGCGTCCGCATTGGCGTCATGAGCGTCGAGAGCATCCAGCCTCGCTTCTGGGTGCGCGGTACCAAGGCTTCGTTCCACAAGACAGCGCTCGATCCCCAAGAAGACCAGCTCAAGGCGGGCAAGAAGCCCAACGAGCCCGGTTTCGGTGTAGAGGACCCCATCAACGGCGGCAGGTTGCTCATCGTCAAGGAGGGCGGCAAGATTGAGGAGAGGACGAAGTTGACCGTCGAACCGAAGACTTATCTCAAGCTCTTTGAGGCCTTCGCCAAGGCTGTCGAGACCGGAAAGGATGAGGATGTTCCTGTCCCGGCAAGCGAGGCACGCGATGTGCTTCGCATAATTGAAGCTGTGAAGGAGAGTGCGAAGACTGGAAGCGAGGTCCGTCTGTCCTGAAGTATCTCATTCTCAAAGGAATGATGTTTTAAGACACTCGCGTGCCCGAAGATGCTGGCCCGAGGCTAGTCAGTCCTCATTGACGATGGGACTGAGCGTCAAATGCCAGAACGGGGTGGCGTGACGTGCCGAGCCGTCGGAGCCGATGGACGAAGATTAGAGCCCGTTGACGCAATACCGGTGCATGTGAGGTTTCTATGTTGAGGGAAATAGACTTGACCTATTTTATGATGACTTAGCGGCTGCATGCGGCAACATCTGAAAACATTTGCCAAGTATACCCGTTCCGGTCGCAATGTTCCCGTTTAAGAATACACGTCTCCGCATCGTGAGGCCTTGGAATGTCCCAAATGAGCAGTCAATGTCGATCTGCCGTTTATGCGAGATCCAAGACACACAACAATACCATATGCAGTTTTGAGTTTTCTCTTTGCTTGAAACATCGTATTTGGCCACCTAGTCAGAAAAGTGAGAAACATTTTGGTTGAGCTTGCATTTAATCCGGCTGTCTTAGGTGACACCTTGGCAGACGCCCGAGACCTTTTCGCGAATGGGAAATGTCAACAGAAGCCACGAGGTGTGATTTTTGGTCCGTATGACGGAACTTATGTTTTGTCACTGGGTGGGAAAGGGAGCACGAAGGGATGGAATTGATGATTATAAAGAGCTTGGGTGCCACGGGCAGGGAGCAATTATTTCAGCAGAACAATCGACCCAGGTGTCCCAGCAGCCTTCGGTACAGCCAACGAACAAAAAGGGTTTAAAAAGCTTGACACACCAGTCAACATGCGTTTCGCCGGCACATTTGCCTTTGCTTCACTCATCGCCAGTGTCTTCGCCGGCCGATACATCATCATTCTTCGACCTGTAGGTTGACTATTTGTATCCGCCTTGAAAAGGCGCAACAGCACATACAGCATTGCTAATTCCGTCTTCAATAGGAAGCAGACTTGGACAAGTTCCTGGCCAAGCTGGAATCTAAATGGAATATTGTGGTGAACAACAAGTTCACTTTCATCCATGGAGCTGTCATTACTACCAATGACTTTACCACAACCTCTCTGCTCAAATTCCGCGAGGTCCTCAGTGCTGAGGAGGACAAGATCATCGGCATCGACCCGATTCTCACATCTGTCAACCCTGGCGGACCAGAAATCCCCAGCCCAACTGAACCAACTGTCCACATCGACCAATAAGCTATCATCATGCACCGTCTTTCGGCAGATGAATAAGACTTGGCCTACTCAACAATGCTGATAGATTTGAGATGCGAAGAACATGATTTCACTGCCGAGGGAGTGCTGTCTTCACTAGGAGAGAAGAGAACCATTTCTCACGGATTGAAATAAAAGAAGAAGACCCTGCATCCACCTATTCTAGCACGACTGCGTTTCCAATGAGCTATTATGTACTGTACCCTACTGTCGTCATCCCTATTATTTTAGCTGTCGTCGTTCCCATTATTGTCGTCGTGTCAGTCGTCCTTGTCGTCATTCTTACTTCTTTTATCGTCATTACTTTCATTAGAATCGTCTATGCTATCATGACCTTCTCTATCATGCTTCTCGATCGAGGCCATCATAGACGTGAAATGTGCCATCGAGGCACAGGAAGACTGCTCAATAAGGTAAAAGACTTTAATCCACATTATCGGCCCTTCGAGCTGTACCCCACTTACGGAGCGCCACAAAGCAGCCGTTGTACATCAAACGTAGCTGCGCCTCGTGGGACTGATCGACTTGTGATTAAGTTTGACCCGACTGTTCGCGTCAAATGTCCAAGTTAAGCTTAGATCATCCCTATGTGCAATGTGGCGCGACCTTAAGTACGACTCGCTGGGGTGCTTGGAGGAATAATTCCGCACATGGGATGTTGCACAATTCAAGCCACCCTTGACATCGAGCCATGTAGAGTGCAAAGAGATGTCTCACTTGGCTGGGAATGTCTACTCAATTAGCTGACAATTTGGTAAGGAAAATAGTTGCAGGAAGGAAGAATCCTCGGATATTATCTCGCAGCCGTTCGGTAGGGCTGGCGGATTTACGAAAGGAGCGCCAACTTCCCCGCCGAAGCACTCCCGACTTGACCGCCCTCTCCTGACCCTTCCAGGCATACTAGAGTCAAACAGCTGATCGTGAGACACCCAACACTGCCCCGTGCCATCATTTGAACTGCCCACTAAGAATCTCCTGCTCCCCTGTCCGGGACGAATTAGCGGACGCCACACGGCACTAAACGATGCATGTCAGCCTATCCGGCTCCTCACCGTTCTGGGCAGCTAAAAATAGGCATTCTAGGGGTCCATGCTACTGAGCCTACAAGTTGGGAGGTAATCGCACAATTCGTGATACGATATCATTCGCTAGATGTACTGACAACAACAGCTTCTTGTCAACGAGATGGACAGAGCCAACAGAGTTGCCGTGATTGGCATAGGTTAGTCCACGTCTTCGCTCTCTCTCTTCGTCTCGCTAACGACATCAGGATCATTGGGCCTCGTCGCCTTGAAGAACTGTCTAGAAGAGGGCTTCGAGGCGATCGGCTTTGAGAGGAGCTCATACGTTGGTGGCCTCTGGAAGTACACCCCAGATGAAAACAAGACTTCTGTGCTTCCAAGTACGATCCCTAGATTTGCCGTCTTTTATACCAAAGTCCATCAGTAACACGCCATAGCCACTATCGTCAACATTTCTAAAGAGAGGGTATGTCAGTCTGGAGAACAGCGATTCAGGGCTCCCGCTAACCACACTTCAATAGGGGTGTTTTACAGACTTTCCGTTTCCAAAAGGTAAGCGTACAATGATTGATCGACCGCCGTTACTCGTACTCAAAGTTCATCAGAAGTACCAAGTCAATGCTCGGCGAAGCAAGTTGAAGATTACCTCGAAAGCTACGCAGATCACTTTAAGCTACGTCCTTTCATACGTCTCAATACGCAAGTGGGACGTGTGCATCATGACGAAAATACGAAGAAATGGGTCATTGAGATCGATGGCTCCCCCACCGAAATCTTTGACAGGGTCATTATCGCAACAGGCATGAACCAGACGCCCAACTACCCTGAAATTAAGGGTATCCAATCTTTCCCCGGCCGACAGGTGCACTCGAAATCGTTCAAAAGGTTTGTAAGAAAGCCGGCCTGGTGTCTGAGAGCATTTGCCTAACGCAATCTGCCAGACCAGAAGAGTTCAAGGGGAAACGTGTACTCGTTGTTGGTTTTGGGAACAGCGGCGCTGATACGGCGGTATCCCTCATCGGACACGCGAAGAATATTTATATCTCACATAGAGAAGGCGCTTATGTTGTAAGTAAGACCATCAATTTGCTCCAGCTTGCGATCGACTAACAGTTACTCTAGATTCCTCGCGTCAACAAGGGGAGACCTATTGACCACACAATCAACGTCCGCTTCACGAAAGTTCAGGCGTTCTTGGAATACTTCTTTCCCAAGGCGAGCGAGAGCCTTTTCAACAGGGTGGTGAAGGGGCTGCAAGACAATAACTTCAAAATTCGACCGCAGTGGAACCTCTCTCCAGCCCCGTCTTTGAAAATAACCAGTCCGGTGGTGTCAGACGAGATCATTCCCGCGCTGGAACGTGGAGACGTGGAGTCTGTAGCTGGCATTGGTAAAGTTACCGGCGACGAGGTTGAGCTCACTGACGGCAGACTTCTTCAAGTGGATGCCATCGTCTATTGCACTGGATATAAGGCTGACTTCAGCATCCTCGACCCGAAGGATGACCCAGCGAATATGCCAAACCCAGAATGGGTTGCTGCGAAGGGAGCAAGAGGCAAACCACTTCCAAGACTCTACAAGAATGTTCTCTCTGAGAAGCATCCGGATTCTCTTGCCTTTATGGGCTGCGTAGCTTTTGCAACTGGTGCATTTCAGCTTTATGACCTGGCAGCCATGGCAATTGTTCAGATTTGGAAAGGAAGTTCACCGTTGCCCTCCACGGAGGGAATCGCACGTTCTATTGACGGGCAGCATGCATGGACAGTAGCGCTGGCCAAGGAGAGAAATGTCATGCCTGCAGTGGTGAACGGGATTGAGTGGACAGCTTGGGCTGATCGTACTGCTGGAACCGGTGTGGATGAATACTTGGGCTGGGGCTGGAAGGGGTGGAAGTTCTGGCTCCAAGAGCCTAGATTTTGTAGTATGCTGATGGGAGGCATCTACAGTCCACACATGTATCGCTACTTTGACGGAAAACGGAAGAAATGGGATGGAGCTAGAGAAGAGATTGAGAGGCTGAACATCAAAAGATTGGACAAGCCGAAGGATCTGTAGTTCCGAGCCATGACCTTTTTCCTCTTAGACATTTCGGCTTTTAGTCATACCAAACGCAGTCTCTCTACTTTCAAACTGCTGGCATGGTCCTCTTTTAGGATATCCTCAAAACTCAAATCCTTCATTACTTCTCCATTCATGATCCCGCTGACGTAACAGGGGCTTATCAGCTCATACGCTGCTCGTTTGAGACTCTTCCTGAGAACAACCGGGAGCCTGCACCCGAACAAGATTGTGACCAAGTCGCCTTTCTTGACGGACGTCAAACCCCTTCCAATGTACCTACCCTTAGTAGAAAATAGACTAGTTAAACTTCCGTTGGTGACTTCTTCTGTTCGCAACTTGTATTCCTCGCGGCGCCAACAAAGCGCCTCGGGGTCCGTTGCGCCGAGCCTCCGGTACTCATGAAATGCCGACTTGAAGAAGTCTGAATGAAATACCTCAAGCTGCTTGAGACTCTTCCCATTCATCCTCTGATTTACATCATTCTCATGATGGAATGTATTGACCTCATGAAGGAAGCCGACAGCAAGTCGCTTGAGATTCTCTTTTCTGATCAGACGCTCCGACCTATTACCACCGTGCAAGGTGATGTTATCGAAGATCATTGTCTCAAAAAAGGCTTGTAATTGAGACTTGTCACCTGGTCGAGGACCCATCGAACCTGGGTCTATTCGTTGGAAAGCTCTCTTCCGCTTCTCCTCTCCCTCTTCCAAATGCACTGCCACTTTGACGACGTCCAATATCACACCATCGGTGAAAAGAACTTCTGGATTTGGATCGCCCAAGGCTATCGTTTTCCTGAGTCGTCGTCCTTTGCAAGCATTAAAGTACCCTAGATAGCTCGCTGCAAGATATCGTATATCCATTCCTTTCATGCCCCGGTAGTCGGGAGTCCATGAAGGCAAGCCAAGGTCGTTCCCATTCTTGGAGTTCCAAGGCCCCGCGTTTAACAGAATGGATAAGTCGTTATTGTGAGATATGAAACTTCTTGTGAAGTCAACGTACACCTCTCTCGCGGTTTTCGAATAGTTCGGCGTCGGAAACGAGGCCGAATCGCACACCCCAAGTAGAGCATAAAGCTTATCTCGAGGGTCCGATGCCTGAAGATTTCTCGTGGGTTGCAAGACATTCTTCATGTCGACAGCCTCCTCTTTTTCTATGCAAAACTGGGCAATTCCAAAGAAAGCTCGACGGAGAGCCAAGATCCATCCACTTCGAATTTCTAGGCCCGGCCATAGCGAAGGATTTCCGGAGATCCTGTCGAGCCGCCGGAAAACATCCCATCGGGCGCTTAGATTGCCGCAATACACCATTGCTGACTGGGATAACACAATCTCTTGAAAGATCCACATGCGATTCCAGTACCGCCGTTGTAGGAGCTCTGTCAAAGCTCGCCCACCAGTCTCGTCGTTGACGACTCTTCTGATGATTTCATTATCCCGCTTGAGTTTCTGACAGTCGTTGAGAAGCTGCATCGCGGCCTTTGATGTTCCGGATGCATCCCCCAGCCAAATAGCCACACATCTGGCTTGGGAGTAGATCCTGCCCATCTGAGAAACCTGTTCATTTCGCTCCGTCATGTTGTGTTGGTTGATACAGATGCTGTCTATCCAGATTCTAATGGGCTCGCCTGAACTTTGCGATCGTTGTCTCAGGTTCTGAAGAGCCAGTCGCAAGTTCTTGGTGACAGGTGTTTCTCTACCATTGACAACGATCACTTCGATGCTTGACGAGTCACCCCAGGTATAGGAAAGTGCGTCGTAGTGGACGTGAGGACTCTGGAGCCTTTCCACAAAGAGATCCGCAATGACTGGCGACTCCGTTGAGGATGCTGGCCACACACTCAAAAGCCGAAACTCGCCCATCGTGATAGGAACTTCTCGATAGACTGGAAATCATCAGCACTTTAACAAGTCTCTGCTGTGCGGGTTGTGACTGACCTCCACACCAGTCGATCCCACAACTCTCACGCTCTTCTATATTCCAACTATCCTCCAAGGCACTGTGGAGATTAGAAAGAAAGTTTTGGGCCTCAAGGTTTGTGCACTCAAAGAAATGGCTTTTGCCAAGGCTCACTGTGCCTTCACACTAGGCAAGTTCGTTGGCGCGATCACAGTACCTCGTTATGAAATGAATCTGATTTAGAGCAGTCTCTGAAGCTTCCGAAACCTCTGAGACTTCTCCTTGGACTGAAGTTTGCGGGCTAGGAGGACCGCTATCGTAAAAGGACGCAGAATGAGCGCTACAAGCATAGCCAACTAAAAGATTGCGTCGTTGGACTGAGTGACCCGGCTTGCTGAAAGATTCACACCGATCAACAGTATGCTGGTAGTAAGGACAGCGGCAAGCGCTATACAACTCAATGACTTGGTAACACATGTTGAAGCGAAAATCCTTTGAAGACCAAGTACGAGGCATACGCAGGCAGGGTGGTCGTCGCAGGCTTTTGTGGTTTTGGATCAGGTATGCAATGCTCCGCACTGTTTGTCTCCGCATTCTCCTGCCGGCAGATAGACAATTTGTCGCCGCAATTCTCATCGGCAGAGATGCTCTCTAATTTTCCCTTCAATCGTTGCGAGCCGTTGCGTGACTTGCTGCGGCTGCTTGCATGATGTCCTGTGATTGACAATGGAAAGAACAAACACTAATGCATCAGCGGAGTCTTGGAAGGTTGCCTTGCATGTGCCACGTCGCAACCTCCGCGAACCACCGCAAATGGAAATGAGGAAACGAAATGAAGAATGGGTCTCAACAGCCTCATTCTAATACCATGGATTCTAGGTAAAAGAGAACAGGCTGATACGATTGCACAAGCAGGACGGGACCGAAAGGTGCCTTGCATCAGTGACGTAGACGAGTTCGCGAACTACAACAAGTGGAAAAAGGCATACATAATGATTCCGAAACAGAGTAAGTACGAAGCCAAGCAAGCGGGGAAAATCACACCTTACTGCCTGCGGTACGTGATTTGAATGGCGATCTCGGAACACAATGTTACGACAAAGTTGGTCTTGGCCGTAACGTCGCGGGTTGGATCTTGAGGAGACGGATATCGTCAGGGCCGATACTGAGAGAGTCGTACACTGAGAAAGATTAGCTCGAGGTCGGTACGCCAAACAGGCGTTTGAGGATATTGTACGGTGTGCTTCGGGTTGGACAACTTCTCTTAGCATCCAATCTCGAATTCCGGTCACGACTCCCTTGAGCGACCATTCGGTGTTTGCGTGCGTTGACATTGAAATTGACGAAATTGACCCCTCGGGCTTGGTGGAATTATGTATTCGAAAGATGCGTTGATAGAAGAAACGAATACAAGAACCATGAAAAAGAAACAATAGTACATTCGAGGACAAGTGCGGATTTCTGAAGGGACGTATCCAAAAATCAAGAAGCTTCGCGAGTTGGGCGTTGGCTTATGTATCTGTGTCATGGCTCTGTTGGTTCGGTCACTACCATGACCAATGTACGCGCCGCCAACCCTGGGCAGTGGAGAAGTGGTTGTATGATACCGGCCCATTGAAACATTCCGACGCACGTGAGCGACTACCTTAGTTGGGTTTGTAGCTCGAAAATAGCGGTTGGAGTCTACAAGCCAACATCCAGGCTTGTCATGAGGGAAACTTTCGACATCAACGGCCGTGAACTTTGGAGATTTCGCCATTTGAACACATTGAGTATCATAGCTTCTGTCCGGCAGCAGGTTGGCCCTGGTGAACCCGAATCTTTCACGCGCTCAACACCGTTCGCTTCGCAAATGTATGTACATGGTGGAAAGCAATAATTACAAACGAACATCGCAAGTACACCAGAAAATCCCACGATAAGGGTCCAGGCGTTGCACTGTGTCAAACAACGTCAGCACAATTTTAGCGATCCAACGCCAGACGAGTGGAAACATACTTTAGCAAGGGCCGTCGTAGTACGCGTCAAATCCGATGGGCGCTGTGTTGTATCCGGTATTGCTTACCGTCACGCGGCAGTTTGAGTCGGCCTGGAGGTACACGCTTGCTGCGCCATTGATCAAGGCGGTCGTCCCCTCGTTCTTTTGGAGACACTTCTGCAACACGTTGTTCCCGGTCGACTTCTCTCGAACCCAGAAATGGCAACCCTGTGCCGTTACCGTGGCGGCGAAGACGGCGGTCAGGACGAAGGTGAAGGGCTGCATTGTGACTCTAACTAGTCCTTTGATTAGTTTACTTGCCGACTTTGGAACGAGGAGTGGAACTGATCATACCTAACGAGTGTTGGTTGATAATTCGACAGGAAGGATTGGCCAATAAGGGGAAGTCAGTTGGGAACTATTGGTGAGAGATGGTATTTACAACCTCGTCTGAACGTCTGGCGTTATCCGCTTTTTATTTGCGAAAACTGAAGCTTGGACTTCGCAACCTAGCGGGAGGTTCATGGGGTTTGACTCGTTGTATAATATCACTGATACAGCAGACTCGTTATCTGATACTGGCCTATATGCCGGCGAAAAGTTTATATGTCATTACCTTAATGTCAGACAACAGTTTTTCCCGAGATACTTACAGGGATTCTCTAGTTAGCCGGAACCCCCTTGTGGAAATCCATGCCAACGTGTCTCCGGAATGAGATTGCAGTTGATGTTGAAGTACATACACATCGTCTGTGAATGATATAGAGTTTTGCTATCCGGGCCGTGTAAAGCATGGCTGCGCCCTGAGATCCAGTCGCAGATAACACTACAAGCGACGGCAGCGGTCTGGGCTGCTTAGGCCCAAACAGACCTTAGACGCAACGAATAAATTGGAGACCTGGAAATTCCGGGCCGAGCGAGATCGATTTCGAAGCCGAGCGCATGTTCGTCTCAACTGGGGCTTGACGCGAGTCGTTCAAGTTCACGCCAACGCCATTGAGTCAATCACTGAGTTCTTGGCGTTGCTCGTGAATCTCTAGTTCTCTTGGCAATTAAATCGCAATTCCCGGCGACCTGAAAATGCCACCATCACCGCATTCGTTCCCACCCGCTGCTCACATGCAGGCTCCATTCAACAGGACATGCTTCCCAACCACGGGCATTAGCGGCCTCAATACATCTTTTGACCAGCCTCTATCTTGATCGTCTTGCAGTGCCCGAGATCCTTCGATGGCGGAATCAAGACATGACTGACTGGTCACATATGCCGTGAATCTTAGTGATGGTCGCATCGGCCCCATGGTCTAGCAGCAATTCGACCGTCTTTGGGGCTCCGTACTCAGCAGCCAGATGGAGCGCCGTCTTGCCATATTTGTCGGCCATGCTGACTTCCAAGCTCTTCGGATTTGGTGGTTAATCCGTGATTTATCGACCACAACTGTCTTTCGTTCGCCGGTGAAGAGTTTCACTTGGGAGTTGAAGCAACATTTCTGCGATTTCGATACGACCACCTTCTCCTGCGTAATGGAGAGACGTACGTCCGTTGCAGTCAGAAGTACCGCTCTCCGTATTCGGAAGGCTGAGCAAACAGTTGACCGTGCCAGCTTCTCGGAGTGATGATGTCGCCCAGTGAAGTGCTGTCTGTCCGCTATGATCTTGTGGATTCATATTGTACCCGCGGTATCTCAAAACCCTCAAAGTCCCAACATAACCATGTGCTGCAGCTTGTTGAGCTGCTCCGATTGGATTTTCAGGTCATGAATTAGTAGGATACGTCTTGATTACGGTTCGGCCTCTTAACCCTACTGCGTGACAACTAAAAACAAAAGAAGGAAAAGAAACCCAATGCATCAAACCGCCCTTGTTTATTTAACGCCGCAACCCCAAAAACTTCCATCGCCAATATCCTACTGAAACAGTCTGCAGCAAGCTTTCATTCTGTTCATAACGCGTCAGTATTCAATTCTGCTGGAACAGAGGCAATAACTCACGCCCGAAACCCGTCTTGTCCTCATATCGGTATGTGCAAGCCACGTCAAGCAGCATCTTGAATGAAAACACGTTGTCGCCAGCAGAGTCGGCGATGAGATCAATCTGACGCAGTTGCGAGTGGTCCTCTGTCGTGAGGATGGGTGTGTAGAAATGGGCTGCGGTGTGAGGCTGGTTCTCTTTTCCACCATCATCACCTGCAAGACACGACTCGCGACCGCGCAGGTTGTTGAGGAGTGAATAACGCACCCGATGTCGTACCCAGAACACAACTTGCTGCAGGTTGATTCTGCCGATTCTTGTCATTTCAGCGTCGTCGTGTGCCAACATCAGGCGTCCCTTCCAGGTTGGAAGGTGGAAACCAGGGGGGTGGATAATCCCGACAATGTTAGGAAACGAGCTGCCTTTGCTATCAACCTTAGGATAAATGATCTCATCAGTCCAACGGCGGTTGACCTTGAGGAAGACCGGTGCCCCGGCCTTCCTGCAAGGCTTCACCTTGTGGGGTGATGGCGTGGGGGGTTCGCCCGTCGCGGTTTTCTTGTTGCCCGACTTGCTGCTTGATGTGCCAGGCACGGGCGCGTCTTCTGCGAGGACACCTATCTGAATCGCGGTGTGAGAGGATTCTCTGTCGGGGATCTTGTCGGGGACCGGAACTTCGTCGTTCGATGTCCACCCCTTGAAAACCGAGACCCAAAGCTTCTCGCGAGCCTCAATTCAAGAGCTAGCAGTCTGAAATGCATCGGAATACTTGTTGTACCGGCACAGCATATTCAGCAGGCTATCAAAATCAAAAGAAGCAGCATGTAGACTAATTTGCAGCCTCGTCTGGTCATCAAAGGAAGGGAAGTTTCGGTTCCATGCAATTTATTTGATTGACGCTTCAACGAGGCGACTAATCGGTTCCCAAGGTGCCTTGGCTTCAGCCATTTGTTGGCGTTGCACTGCTTTGAATGCCCGTAAGATTCTTTGAGAAGGAAGCCGGGATAGGGGATGTAGCATGCAGACAGTGGTTGGAATGCCGAATGAAGGGCCACATAAAGATGGCCCAGCATTGAGATGAGGAGCCATTGAAAGTACAGAGTGATATTTAGATGCATGCTCAGGCAACCCTCCCTAGTCAACTTGAATGGTACCAAGCAGCGCTTCCGCAAGGGCAGGTCACTTGACAAGCTATACAGGCAACATAAGGAAAGAACGCTGTTATCGCCACCTAAGTAGTCGAATCGACAGCCCTCAAATGACTTGAAATACTTGCTATATTGTTGTATTCATAATTAGCTAATAGGAGGGCTTGGATTAGTCTGTTCCCTTCTTATCTAGGCACGCCCAGCTATATGCGTATGTGAAGGCATCAGTGGGCGAGGCCTCCTCAAGGGCTCACTCGGGGGCTGGGGGCGGCGGCGGCAGCGGCTGGCGGCTATGAGGGGGGCAGTGAGTGCAAACGTGAGGGTCTAGATAGCCTTAGAGATACTGGATTAGGAAGTTTATTGTACTGTAGCTTTGTTTAGCGATGGAAAGGTTATACTTGTAAGTAGGCTAATTGATTTAAACCTTCAAAATAACAATCCCGTCAACAGCAACTAAGTTTAGGGATCAAAGTTGACTCAACTGTCCTTGTGGCAGTGCTGATCCCAAGTTTTCTGTATGTATATCTTCTCTAATCCAATAAGCCTCACATTCGTGTCGTCAAACGACGCTCTGAGGGCCATCAATGAAAGCAGGCCATACACCGTACCTATCCAGACCGAACCATGTACCAAACCACCGTGTATGAGAAATCGCTCGCTAATCACCAGCCACCGGGGGGAATCATGAAAGTGTACCCAATCCATTGCCGAACCACCATATATCCAGCTTCCAACCCAAAAGGAAAGCATCACGTCATAACGTCAACATGGCTGCTCAGCCTAGAAGGCCGCCGCCCAGCGCTGCATCGTGTTGATGAACATCCTAAAAATGAGCCCGGCGGCTCCTACAACAACAAAAACTTGGGACAGCTCCCACCAGTGCTTCAGGCGGACCTCCGTCTCGATGTATCCCTTCTTGTTGTCCTCACTTGGTGGAAAGCGGCCGTTGACGAGGTACTCCTCCATCAGGGCGTCCTTCTCGTACCACCTCTCGCGCACCCAGGCGTCGAACTCCTTCTGGTCGTGAAGGGGCATGTCGGCGACGCGGAAGCGGCGCCAGTGGAAGTTGACCGATTTCGGGGGGCGGCCCTGGAAGTAGGTGCTCGCGAGGGTGAAGTAGGACTCGCCGTACTTGCCACGACTGGAATGTTGTTAGCTTGTGTCTCAGACGGGACCGGCCGGCGCAGGAACTTACGGGACGCCTTCGTATGCGACAGTGCAGTCATAGACGTAATCCAGAGTCCCCTTCAACTCCTTCAGGCAAAAGTACATTCCGGTGCTGCGTGGGAGCAGTAGGTGCTCAGGGTCCTTCAGGCCCGTCTGCTCCGCCCATGCCGCTGACTTCCTGCGGCCGTTGCCTGACAAATTTGTGCCCTCGGGGAAGAGAAGCAGCCACATCGGGTCGCGGTGCTTCTTGCCACTGGGAGTAGTGTGCTCCATCTTCAGCTTGCCAAGGCGATGCGCCAGGCGCGGCTGGTCGGTGGACATCTTGCGCGACATGAAGATGAAGCCGTAGAACATCATGCCCCAGCCGACGAGGGGAATGTACTTGAGCGACTCCTTCAAGATGATGTAGATGTGCCCATGCATGCCTGGCTCGTTGGCATACGCCACCCACCAGAGGTATAGCCAGTCCGTGTAGATCTGGTGGTTCGCGATCAGGATCAAGCGCTCGGGGAAGTCGAACTCAACGCCGCCGCCGGGTGTCTGCCGTATTTGCCCCGCTACCGATGCATCGCCGCTTATCCGGATCTTCGTGGGGCCCCAGATGTGCGTCATCGCGGTCGTGGTCAGGGCGAAGGATTGTTTCGTCAGGGCCATGTAGGCGTAGTAGAGCTCGCGGTTGACCAGGTAGAGGCCGCAGCCCATCAGCTGGGTGATAAAGATACTGGCGCAAGCTTCAGGTTAGCTGTGGTCTTCTTTCGTCGCAGAGCAGAGCGGGGTATGGAGCTTCGTACCTTGCGCAGCATGCTGCGAAATAGACGGCGAAGGAGACACCGCGGAGGATTTGCATCAGCTTGTTATGCTTGATACGACCGGCCGGATGTGCGTCACTTGGTTTCCTGAGCAAGCCAGCATTTGGACCTGGAGCTGGCACCGCCTCGTCTGCCTTCTTGTGTACGTCGGTCGCCATGATCGCGGGGTAATGTTGGAGGTTTCGGTCGGTTTGGGAGAGTATCGCGGGTTCGAAAGGCATGCGGAAGAGGAGTTGGAGGTTTCTCGTAGGTCTGACGTCAAGCGGCTAAGATCGAAGGAGATAGGGGTCGGTGGAGAGCTTCGTGGCGGGTTGATGAGGAGTCGTCTTCGTGGTGTCGCGTGCGAAGGGCATGTGAGACGGGTAGCTGGACGGCAAGCTGGGATGCTGCTTGGTGGAGGAGGCCAACGTCGTCTTCAGGTCGGGAAGAGTACAATGAGGTAAGGTCAGATAGGTAAAGGTAGTTAAGGTACCTGCGGTTAGGCAAAGGCAAACTTAAAAGTACTTGGTAAGGTGAGGAGGAAACAAAAGACGGACGATGGCAGAGACATCCGCAAGGAACATGGAACGATAGCGACACTGGCGAGAGTCATGGGTTTGGTCTGGTCATGGTCATGGCTTCCATGTCTGGAACCGAGGCGGCCGAGCGCAGCGCAGGCAGGTTCAGGCTCCGTCCGCCGGCTTGATTTTGGGCGCCGAATGTGGACGGGGAAGGAGTCAAGAACCCCTCCAACCATCCGACCCGACGGGTGGTGCCTTCTGCTGATGGTGACGCTGTACTGCTTGCTGCCTTGGCAGCCTGCGACTGCTGTCTGCGACTGCTGTCTGCGACTGCGACTGCGACTGCGGCGCTGCCGGCTTCCTCGGAGGGAGTCTGGACCCTGCCCATCCAGCTCTTGCCCGTCTTTGGTGCTGCCTGCAGGCAAGCTGTCATGGCGCTAGCTGCAAGGAGGATACACAGTGTAGCGTCATGGTGGGGCATGCGCACGGATCTGGATGAATGCGGCGTGACGTTATGGATCAACAGAACAGCCGAAGTCCGGCCTCAGATGCCCCACCTCACCTCAGTTATTTCCGGTTTTCAAGGTCGGTCGGTGCCTTCCGAGCCAATCCCGCCGCTGCTTTTTGGCATCGGCCAATGGCACGTGCGCATACACCGAGATGAGCTACAGGTGAGCTCCAGGTGAGGTCTTCACCGATGCGCTTCGCAGCACTGATGGAGGACCAGCTGATCCAGCTGACTGCATCCCGAAGCATGCATGCATGCACGGCACAGACAGAATCCTGCAACCCCGTTTGAAGTTCTAATCTTTTGGCATTTCAAACTTACTGCATAAGATACACACAGATCTTTCCACCTCAGACGAGCCCCACCTCAATACTGAATCACCAGCTTCGTCGCAGAGACCCCTTTCTTGAGCCGCTCAAGCCCACCCTGAATCGACTCCAGCCCCTTTCCCACCACCTCGGGATCTGGTTTCGCCTTCAGCTGACCGTTTTTGAGCGCTCCAGGCACAAATTCTCTCCAAACCGGATCGCCGACTTCCTCAGGGTTTTCGGTGATTTGAAAGGCCGTCTCTGGAAAAAGTGTCAGAATACTTGCGATGGCTTTCCAGAATGACTTACCGAATGACATGAGCGCATTCTTTCCAAAGTTTCCCTCCACAGGTAGCACCGTCACCACCTGGTGCGGCCCAAGCTTGTCCAGAATAGCGCCGATGGGTTGCAAAGATCGCTGAGAGGAGATCGCATCGTACACCCCCGCAAGGTCCGTCCCAGACAACACCCTGATGGCATCGTCGACGATAGTTTCAGAGTGGTAGTCGAGAACGGTGTCAGCTCCTAATTCTTTTACCTTGTCAAAGTTGGCCTTCGAAGCCGTCGTGATAACCCTCAATCCCGAGGCAACCGCAAGCTGCACCGCCGTGCCGCCAACTGATGAGGCTCCACCCCATACAAGCAATGCCTTGCCCGTCGGTGCTGGTGTTGAGCCAGGTAACGGCAGGCCGAGATACTTCTTCTTGTAAAGACCCACCGAAGCGGTTGCGATGGCGAGGGGAAGTACTGATCCCGCCTCAAAGCTCATGTCATCGGGGATCGGCGCGACGAGATTCGCGGCGGCTTTGCTGTAGAGCTGAAACGTTCCGAACTCGTGATTTTGAAGACCAAGACCGGTGCAATACCTAAATACTCGGGGCTCAGTGACTGTTGTTCGATCAAGGGGGAGACTGGCCTGATGGATTATGGACGCACCCAATCACTCGCTGACCCTTTTGCAGATGCGTAACACCCTCGCCAACCTCTTCGATATATCCAGCGGCATCCGCCCCCAGGATGGTTGGGTATTTCTGTACAATCACTCCGAGATCTCTGATCTATAACCAGCCTTCCGTTTCACGTGCTGTTGCGTGCAGTCTTACTGTATTTTCCACTCGGCGGGGTTCTGTCTCCACATTAGCCGGAACCTTGGGCAATGGACCAGTGAAGAAGCGCAACTCACTAAAGCAGTGACAACATTCCTAATCACAACCTCTCCCGGTCCAGCCGTGGGAAACGGGGCATCCTTTATTTGGAAGGGATATGACTTTGGCTCGGTGAGCCAGGCAGCTTTGTTGGTCGGCATATTAACTTGCAGCAGCTTGGCTTAACAGCGACGAAAGGGAAAGGGTACTGTGATTTTGCATGGGCAGACTTCGCACTAGATATCCCTACCACTCCAAGATATACTTCAACAATTCGGCGAAGACGGAAAACCGAAAATTCGTCCGAAATTCAGTTCCAGCGGCACAAATCATCGACAAACCATCCCTCGAAGCGGGGCCGAAAGGTGTTCGTCGGATAGTGGAGGGATCGTCGGGTTCGCGGTGGGCGTTCCGAAAACTCTCCCCTACTATGACGACCCCGTATTCAACATACTTGCATAGATGGCGGCATCTAGGCGAGGTTTTCCTCTTCCGACAAAATTTCGTAGGAGTTTTCAGAGGTTGCATTTGATGCCATCAAGTTAGATGCCCCCTGTGAACCAAACACACACACAGAACTGCCCCAACTTTAGCGCTCGTTCAGACTCAGTCAATCACTGGATTGAGCTTGACTGCCTGCCCGCAGCTAATCTTCCTCCCCAAATTCTGCCAGCACAGAATTCACAGTCGTGTTCCATGTCAAATCAAGTTCACCTCATTCTCTCCCGCCAACATGTCCCGATATCATCTACCCACTAACAGCACAGCATGAACAGGTTCCCCAGACTGCCCACACCTGTAAGGGTACCTCTCCGCCCCGCACGACCACTAAGACGAAGCCAGCGGATCCCTGTCTGCCGTATATAAGGCCCAAATCTCGCCAAAATCGCATCCAATTGGCCTGCTGGCGAAATGGCATCGCGTCAGATTTCGGCTACTCCAAGTCATACTCTGAAGATTCTAGGTTCGATCCCTGGGTAGGTCGGGATACATTTTTGCGTTTCCCACAACATCGTTTTTAATCTTTTCATGATGATTTTGGGATTCTCAACGGATGAGGTTAAGTTCGCGGCGTTTGTGAAGGCCTTTTATGCCAGCAGCCTGGATAAGCTGAAATCTGCAAATCATATTGTCACGACTTCATCTGGCTACTCGAGAATGATGATACAGGGCCGTACACATATCTTTAAGCTAAGTTGAGTTACCTACTTGTGTGTGATATTAAGTACGTCTTCTGCTGCTTCTACATCTGTCTGTCACTTTGGCTGCCATTGCCATGATCTCCGTCATTATCGTCATCCTTGTCCCTGTTCTCGTCCGTCGTCGTCCTCGTTCTCCGTCGTCGTCCTCGTCCTCGTCCTCATCCTCATCCTCATCCTCATCCTCATCCTCATCCTCATCCTCATCCTCGTCCTCGTCCTCATCCTCATCCTCATCCTCAATCCTCATCCTCATCCTCATCCTCATCGTTGTACGTCGTCGTCGATGGTGCTGCTGCTCTACTTCCCCCGTCCCACGACTCGACAAGCGGTCGGCCTCATCCGTGGCGTGTTTGGCGGGGAGGTGCCGCTGATTGTTGTTGCGGCGCGTTGGCCGCAGAAAATACCACTGTTGACAGAAACTGGTTGCAGAAGAAAGCGCTTCCAAAACCATTTGGTCAGTAGGTCCGCTGAATGCTGTAGGCACTGCGCCATGTGCGCTCTGAATCAAATTGTGTAGCCCTGCCCAATCCTTCATCTTGACGAGCGGCTCAAATTTCGACCGGGCTCTCTCGCATCGGGCCCTGTAGGCTTTTACTATCTACGCAAGTGTCTCTCCCCGCAGGGGTTCGTTGAAATCATGACCATGCTGCCAGCTCACATCGCTTAAATACTTTGAAATATCAGGTTTGGGCCTGGCGCCCTTCTCAACGCTCGTGTCGACAGCCCACTTCGCGATTGCCACCGCTTCTTTTCGCAGGCGGGCCGCCATGCCCCTAGCCAGGAAGTCAACATGTGGGGGCCCGGCCTTTGCAATCTTTGGCAATATTTGCTTGTCGCGGACGGCCGTCCGCACCCTGTTCCGGACTGCACGGAGAAGCCGGCCGACATAGTCGGCGTATGCATCGATTGCGGCGACGTGTTCTCGCTGACACAGCTGCCGCTGCAACTAATTGCGTTCTTCGATTGCTGTTGCATGGGTGGCCACCAGCTGGGTGTTCGTGTCCTTCAGTGCCAGGTAGGACTCTAGCCTCGTGTGTTCACATTGGATGAATCGAATGGCCCTCTGCGCGTTATCCCGGGATCCTTTCACAAGCTCGCGTTCTCCCCACTCTGCCTGCTCTTTCAGGACAGTGGCAGCAATCTGTGTGCTACTGCTGATTACTCGAGGACCTGAGGGAAGCTTCTCGGCATAGGCGGTGGCGCTTGTAATAATGCCCTCCTCGGCGTTAGAGTCCGTACACTGGGGGATAGGTGTGGCGGCAAGCTGGATGGGTTGCGTTCGGGGTGGTGTTGGGAGCACGCTTGGTTGTTTGTTTGTTTGTTTGTTTGTTTGTTTAATATTTAACGCCATGGCGGCAAGGGCGCGGCCGCCCTTGCGGCAGACCTCCCGAAGGGTATGTGGCGTGGAGGGCCGCAGGCTCTAGCTATATACTCTGTAGTACACGCC